TAATAGTAAACGCTCTGCCCTGTTCTGAAAAAGGCACGGTTTAGTTCTACTTTCTACTACGGCGATTAGTAGAGGGTGTTCTATACGTTGCTATATACCTATTTCCTTATAGAGCATATCGCGTCGGTTAAGTAATAACGTTCTATAGAGCCTACTATTGTCGATCTAGAAGGCTAGTCTCGCGCTAACGGTCGCTACTACCTTAAGGAACTCGAGAACCTAATTGCTTAAGGTATGCTATCGTTACTACCTTAGCGAATACCGACCCCCGAATTGCTATAATAGCTCCTATATACTACTACTAGCCCTCGTACGATTAAGGCGTCTCGTATTGCTATATAAGCTCGCAAGGACTTCCGACGCTCTTATCTAAACCTAGTCCCGTAGGGTATATTACTATTATTACTATTATTCTACCTATTTAACCCGTTTTCCTTGTTACCTATAAAAGCAGTAGAAGAGGCGTATAATATATTAGTTAACGCGGCTATCTATAAAGGTAAGGAATACAAGCGTAAATACTAGTCTATAAGCACTATCGAACGAGCAAAGAAACGTTAGAAGGAATAGCCTAACCGGCTTATTCGAGTAGGTGCTATCGAGGCTAACGAGTTACGCTTACAACTTACTTAGCAAGATAAGGACATAGCTACAAATAGATACTAGAAGATTCTCCGTAAGGCAGAGAGTGCTTATAACAAGGCGCGCACTTATCGATTAAAGTATAGTAAGGCCTTCCGTATTGTCTTTAACAATAATAGTAAGACTAAGTAGATAGACGTTAAGCTATAGTCTATCGATAAGCTACTATAACGAGTCTTCGATAAGCGCCTTCTTACCTCTAACTCTATATTAAAGAAGACTAGTAATCTATACGCTAATATTATTAGCTATTATAGGCGAGCTACCGATACAAGTAAGAGCGGCGATATTACCTATATATAGAGTCTAATAAGAACATTATCTCTACCGAGCCGCGCCTATAGCTACGACGAAGGCGACCTACTAACGTAGACCGACGTTAAGACTAAGCGGCGATTAAATAGCCTATTCGCGTAAGAGCCTAATACCCGACTCGACTAGCTATAGTAAGACGAGGCACTACTTAATAAAGATACTATATATACTATAATTTAGCCTTACTTAGTATATCCTCGCTAGCGCTAGGAGTCGGTATAGCGAAAGCGCTATTTCTACGAGCCTCTAAAGAAAACTAGTCGCTATCGAGGCGAGGTCGCTAGTAGTAAGAACAACCCTATTAAGCTAGAAGAGTCTTAAGATAGTAGTTAACTATTTAGTTAATAATAATAATAAGAGATAGCAATTATATAATAGACTTATAGACCGACTTATAAGGTAATTAATTACTTAGTTAATAAGAGGTTTACGCGGAGGCCGATTGTAGGTCTATTTTAACTATCTACGGTCGCAATTTAGTCGCTAATATAACGGAAATCTACTGCTTCTTAACCCTAACCGCACCCTAATTCAATTTCCCGGTCTATATACTATATAATATACTACTATGTCGAGTTTTACGTGTAGCCTACTAAGAAAAAGCGATTTTACGTATAGCCGGAATCCCCGAGCCCGGGGCTAGGGGTAAAGTAGCTAACGCAACCCCGGATATAGCACAATATCGATCGCGTGCCTGCCGGGCGAGACTATTCGAGAATCTATCCCGGCTATTCGAGAATCTATAGTCCGATCGCGGAGGAGGCCTAAGGCAAATTTGTTAGTTATGTTCTCTACCGCTAGACCTTACTGTCGCCGCTGTTTTAACTACTGTTTTAACCTTACTATCGCTATCGATAGCTATATTGTTAAGCCCTTCTACGTAGTTACAAGCCGAGTGTAATGCCGCCGCTACTACTACTACTATTACTACCGCCGCCGCCGCCGCTACGCCTGCTATTTAATAGAGGGGTAATATGTATAATCCGAAGGTCTTCTAGCTGCAAAGAATGCGTAGTAAGAGGCTACGGCAAGAGCGAGAGCCGTACCTAGGTAACCTCGGAGGCCTTAAATTATAGGTTAAGCAGATATATAGACTAAAATACTAGCTAGCCTACTAATACTAGGAGGGTGTCGACCGTTAGTATTTAAAGCAATTCCTCTTAGACTTCTAGGAAGATGTAGCGGAAAGCGAGCGGACGTACGAGTAGCGCTATATTAGTTATTAGTATAAGGCTAGATACGATAGTCTTAATCCCTCTAACTAGTTAGCTAGTAAGCTAGATAGTACCTTCGAGACCCTCAACCTAACTATCCCCTTTATCGACGATTTGCTAGAATAGTACAAAGTAGGGCACAAAGCGATCCGCTTTATACTATATGCTATACCTAGTAAGAGGTAGAGGCTACTAAGCAGTAAGGGTAGTAAATAGAATAGTAAAGAAGAAGAAGAAGTTAAAGTTAGTAGTAGTAGTAGTAGTAGTAGCGATAGTAATAACGGCGAAGGCGGGGTTAGTTAGCAAGAACAACGCCCTCCTTCGGTAGAAATCGAGTCTCCTTAACAACTAGCCTATAACTTTAGCAATAACGACGAATACAGTAACTAGTCCGAGTTAGAGGTAGAGGCTTATAAACCTAGATCGTACGCAACTATCGAGAACCCCGAAAACCAGGTATTTAATAGTATTGTAGCAGCCGAGGACTATATAGATACATTCGCACTAGAGAAGGGGTTTAAGCTTAGAAGGACCGGCTATAAGCGCAATAAGGACTATACTTACTAGACCTTCTTACTGCGCTACGCTAAGTATTTAATACCGGCATCACGCGAGACGGCAAAGAAGAAGCGTAACGAGAGAAGGCTTCTTTATCCTACTGCTAAGACTCGTAAAGGCCGCTTAAAGAAGTGTGATTGCCCTTAGTCTATAGCCCTTACTACGGACGACTAGAAGGACCCCGACAATAGCACCTAGTCTCTTACATTTAATAGCTCTAACTACAACTATCTAGCAGTCTATCTAATAGCGCTAGCTAATTACCGCCGCCGAGCTCGTACGATAGAGATTGTTAAGGCTATATTGCAGTTAAGGTCTATAGGCGTTACTAATCGATAGATTAAGGCCGCTATTAAGCTCCGTTTTGGTAGTAGTAGAGACTAGCAATCGCCTATCGTACCTGCTACTTTACGAGACATCTCAAATGCCTAGTAAAAGGCTAAGAAGTTGCGACTCGCTAGTAAGTTAGTAGTCGATAAGACGATCGAGGACCTCCTATAATAGAACTACTTCGTATAGAAGGGTATTAGCACTAGACTAAGCGGTAAGTAACGGCTAGAATAGCTATATTTCTCGCACCCTAAGATAATTAATATCTATAAGAACTGTCCGGATATTATAGTTATAGATTGCACCTACAAAACTAACGAATACGGCTTACTATTGCTTGTAATCGCCTTACTTAATTAGTTTAACTAAACCTTCCCTTTAGCGCTTATATTTATGCCTAGATAGGCAACTAAACAGTATTCTATAGCTATTAGCTATATATAGGAGTTGCTATTAGAATACGGTGTAGAAGAGCTACGGCTTATAATCCATGACCGTAATAAGGCACTAATTAAGGTACTAGCAAGCGACTAGACTTATTTGTATATATAGCTCTACCGCTAGTATATTAGACGCGTAGTAGAGGCTAATGCGAAGGCCTTCCTTAGTACTAGGCTACCTAATCTATCGACAAGGCGGAGGCTATTAAGTGTAGCTATATAGGACTTTATAGACCTATTTAACAAGGCTATTAACTCGCCGTCGGTTAAGTCGTTTATAACTAACTCGAAGGCCCTCGAGAGCGGCAAGATTGCCGCTAGTAAAGGTAAGCTTATACGAGACTACTCGGACAATAAGGACTAGCAAATACTAGCTAGTTATATAGCTAATATATAGTAGATTTACCGATAGCACTATGTCAAATACTAGATTAATAGGATACGCTATTTTAGCAATACAACAACCTCGCTAGTAGAAGGTTATTACGCTAGCATTAAGGCATAGTTAACGACCTATAAGAATAATATCTATAGCTTTGTTAACCGGATAGTGCCTTATTTCTAGCACTAGGTTAACCGCTATTAAGCAATAGTTAGACTCGAGATTATACGACTAGTAACGGTATTCTTAAACGACCCCCTCTATGCCGAGGTTGTTAGCTATATTAGCACCTTCGCTCTACGGAAGGTAGCCGAGCGAAGGGCTCTCGTACGTAGTAAGCTCGAGAAGCGGAAGTCTAATAGTTATAGGCTATTAGTGTACACCTAGTGCTATCGAAGGGTCTATAGCCTAAATTGTATATACTAAATGCTAATAATCGAGGAGTCTATAGCCGGTATTCTTACTATCGGCTAGTTTAATAAGTACTAGCGAATACTAAGGAGCGATTATAATAGCAACGAGGCTACTACTACTTACTATACCTTAGAGCTACTTAAGCGGATTAATAAGCGGCTTATACGGTCGACTCGGCGTAAGGCAACTAGACCTAAGCTTATTAAACAAGCCGCTAAGGCTATAGACTAGCAAGAAGCGATAAGATAGGCTAAGCCTAGAAGGCCTATTCTACCTCTACTACTACTAGTACTACGGCAACCTTTACGTAAGGGTTGTATATGCAAAACGGCCTATAGGAGGTGCAAGTGCGTTAAAGACAACGTAGACTGCTACGTAGGCTGCTATAAGCATAGGTAGTGCGATAGAGACCCTATATCTACTTATTTACCTATATAGGGGCCTCCGCCCTCTCCGAGGACTCTACTAGTACCTACGGCGCTAGTAGGTATCTTAGGCTATACTGATTTAGTATAGCAGGAGCTATACGTTAATGCGAGGGTAGTAGAACCTTATTTGCTAGGTAGGTAGTATACCTAGAACAGTTAGGATTAGCTATAGTATCGAATTCTACGTCTATTATTTACTTAATTCTTCTTTCCTACGTTATTATTCTACTGAGCAGCTAGCAAGGGCATCACATGTCTTCATGCGATATTATTCTATATGGATTACTACCAATTTGGTCTCACCGAGACCGGAGCGGCCCTAGGTCCGTAGATTCTCGAATAGCCGGGGTGGATTCTCGAATAGTCTCGCCCGTGCCTGCCTGGCACGAGCACATCTCATCGCATCGCGGAGCACATCAAACCATGTCAACCTCAGCGTATCAGCTATTCCTGCTCGCCGACCACCTCAAGCTCTCCCTCCTCGAGCGCCAACGAGCCATAAGCCTAAACATCGAATCGACCCGACAAGACCGCCACATTCGTCGATCCCTCTCCCAGTTCCAAGACGGCATAGAACAGCTCGAATCGCAATCCACAGATCTGGGGGAAGCCGAAGACGACACCTCAGATCTCGCACGACTAAAGACCCAATATGCCGACCTCTACTCGCAATTCCACGGCTCGGCGCCTCCTTCCGCAGAAATCAAGAAACCCAACCCAGCATTAGCCAGCGACTTCGCCGCAGCACAATCGAGACCCAGCAGAACAACATCATCACTGCAGAAAAACAACAAAAACGTGCGATTCCACGACAACCCAGACGAACATGACGCAGAAGCACAAGCCCACCGCGCAGCCGCCCTCTTCTCCGACCACCAAAGATACCGCGACGAGCCTGAAGCACCCGATCAAAGTCGCATGGACAATCCGCAAATTCACACCTATCATAAACAAGTCCTGCGAGAACAAGACGATCAGTTGGAAGTGTTGGGTCAGAGTATCGGTCGGCAACGCATGCTGGGGATACAAATGGGCAATGAGCTGGATGAACAGGTCGAGATGCTGGATGATGTGGAACGAGGTGTGGATCGGCATTCGGCGACTTTGCAGCGTGCGCAGAAGAGGTTGGGCACGATTGCGAGGAAGGCTAAGGATAATTGGAATTGGGTGACGATTACGATTTTGATGATGATACTTGTGCTGTTGATTGTGGTGTTGAAGTGAGTGAGTGCCCGGGAAGAGCGATTGATTATAGAGGAGGGGAATATGGACCTGATCAAGGCGCTCCCGGTCCCAGCAGCATGTATTTTGATTTCACGAAGTCTGATGATTAATGAATGCCATTACACATGGGGTCGCACGTTGCCACGTTGGACTCTATGATGGAAATTGTGTGTAAAAGCTATAAGCTATATGTATCTACGGACCAGGAATGGGTATGGTGCACCAGAAGTATCAATCGACGCGACGAAATCCTGTCCGCATTCTCCAGACTCAAGTACCAATATCCGTATCAGACCCTCAGATATTGACGGTAAAGGAACATTCAGAAATGAATGAGGAAGTGGAAGTGGCACGTTCTCGTCAAATTCCAGCCCCAAGGAGCTGCTATCCTGACGCTGTACTGAATCAGTGTTGACCATTGGTGAAGCAGTTGCAGATCTGGTGTAGTGATTCTTTTCGATGTTTCGTTCTGCTTATGTCGAGCACAGAAGTTTTTGAGGTTTGTAGAGAATGATACAAGCAACGTCGTTAGTCCTCGTTCTCATCCCGAGGTTTTATAGCCAGCATTGTACCAGGTGGATCCCGACAGACTTCTGGTAAGGAAATGAGAGCTGTATCCAGAGCAGAGTCCTGACCATCTAGCGCAAAGACCGGACGACCCATCCGTCTCAGGTCGCATTCGTTCAAGATCGTCGAGCGTCTATCGGACCTAAAGCATATCAACACGGAAAGCTGTGAGTGAAATGTTGCTGTCTCGATGAGAACCCCTGGGGAACCGCGAATGCCTGCGCAAGAGTGTATCAGGGGTCAGTGCCAGGATGAGAGGGACAAAGGCAACACGAGCGTCAGCCTCGCGGTGAGAAGACTCAACCAATTCAACCACCTCAAATCTTCAAAGAGTGGCTACCTCCTCCAAACCCCATGGCAACAGCAACGAAAAAAGCTTTGCCCTTGGATCTTAGAATGGCCGTAGACACAAGGCTACAGTTTCTGAAACACAACCTGGTTGACCCCGGAACCTGATCAAGATGGCTAAGGCCACAGCCTTGCATAAGAATCTCCATTACACTGGAAGCCAGAACATGCCCGGGCGTAACAAGGGTCACTTTGCCGCGATCCGAGATTGATCATCCTCAGCGACCTCGTACGGTGATCGCGATGTCTACCATGTGATCTGGCACTCCTTTGCATCTCGAGATTGTGGCATGATTATTCTCTTTGAGAGAGTGCGAGAGCTGGTAGTATGGCTGAGATGAGACAGGGCTACTGTAGCAGATTCGACCACTGTAGCCGAAGTTGAAGGGAACCGGTGAGGCAGTGTTTGTTACAGTATGCTGTGCAGTGCCTTCCAACTGATAAAATGCCGAGTTTTGAAGGGGAGGGATTCGATACCATTGATTGGAAAAGGTATCCAGTGCCTCGTTCAACTCCGGCGGTGTCCATCGTCCAAATCTGGCAGGTCCAAGTGTTGAGAAGGCAGGGCGATCAACGCAGCACTTATCATCATTATCAGTATGAGTTTCATCATTGAGGTCAGTCGCATGCCAGGATTAGTCTGAGCCACGGTCAGAGACAAGAAACTCCCTTGCTTAGCCGGATTGTGCGACGACGCAGATGAACCAGGCGTGTCGACGAGACACCGGAGTCTATCATCGTAATGACCTCTTCATCCAGTCAATCATGGGCTTCTGTACCTCTGTGTAGCGAGAAATAGTACAGATGTCGGAAGCTCTCGAGACGTTGCTGTCATCAGCTCTACTTGGTTGTCTCATCGACCTCTAAAGCGCCCTCGCCCGCCGCCTCTGCCTCTGCCACCTCGTCCACCCCTTCCTCGCCCTCGATCGGACCCTCCTCTACCGCGACCGCGTCCTGAGCCAAATGGCTCTGGTTCTTCTCGGGGTCCTAATTTTTGGCGCTGCTCTAGCTCTTCCTCACTGATCGCAAGAGCATTTGGTATTTGCAAGAGACTGCTGTATGCAGCTGTCTGTGGGTTGGGATACTCCAAAACTTGCTGATAGCGTGGGTCTTGAAAGTCTCCACCATCGTAGACAGGTGCTGTGACCCGAAAGTTCTCAGGTATGGTCAATTCATTCTCGCTGATGTGCTCATCAACCCATTTCCGTTGCTCGTCAATAAGCACACGATATTCTGCTTGTGTCTTGGAAAAAGGCACTCGAGCATCGGGATTGCCGAATTGGGGAGGCTCAGTCAATGAGAAGGCCCTTTGGATTGCCAGCCACTCCCTATCGTACTGCAGCTTGAGGGGCTGAGTCCGGTCTACATTCGCTTCACTGGGGATCGCCATCAGTTGCAAAAAGTGGCGGTTCGGTAAGCACTTGTCCAGAGCCAGGAAGTTTGTTTCAACATTTGAGATTTCCTTGGGATGCTCCATTTCTTCGGGAGGCGGCGGACGATTGAACGCTGCTGGAAGCGCGGCTCGAGCCTCTGCAAGAAGCGCATCGTGCGCTCCGGTTGCTGCTTCAGAATTGTGCTGGCCCTTGGCTGCGGGCGCTGGGACCTCCCCATTGTCCTCCAATGCCAAATCAATCTCATCGGGGTTCCCAGATGACTGCGCTGCTGATTTATGTGCTGTTCCGGATGCTGCAGGTTCTGTGATGTCGTCGTCGAGGTCCAGTTCAATCTCATCAGCATTTTCGACCATGTGCGATTCTTGGTCGCCGTTGGCGACATCGTCGTCATCGAGGTCAATCTCGTCGCTGTTGGTCTTGGTCGCCATCGTTGATGTTCCATTTGCGACGGTCGACGAGTCTCCATCCGGCTTGTTGTGGTGGATGAGCGCTGCGTACTTGCAGTGCAGGTGCGCACTGAACCAATAGCTGGGCCTCAACCTCGCGAGCACTTGCTTGGCTGCAATACTGCCGAGCCTACCGCTTTTTGCATCCTCCTCCAAATGCGGCTTGAACCTGAACAGTTGTTTGTGGTTGCCTTTCCACTCAATGCCCTGCGGCCAGTCGTGACTAATGGCCACGTCGACCTGGGTACGGATGTGCAAGAGCTTTCGTACATCCAGCTCTCGAACGTGATAGACACTCTTGAGATCTGACGCGTTGTATGGGAGTCGCTCGAAGTGAGGCTTTCGATAGTCGAAGCCTTTCCAGATGCCGCTCAGGCCAGCAATTCGCAGCGGTCCGAGCTGCAGCACGTTGGCCGCACCCATATAGTAGATGTTTGGCGCGACCCAGCCTCCATAGTACAGCTCGGTGAGATAGCTGCTCGCTTCATGGTTGCCGCCCACGAAGATGGTGAGGTATGGAGCGAGTCGTTGTCCGGAGTAGTATGCATGGAAGTCGCACATGTCGCGGTATTTCGCAGGCATGCTGATGGTGTTCAGATCGAAGGCATTGCGCACTGATTGAAAGTCGCCGCCGATGATGAGCACGTCGATGCCCTCCCATGCCTTCTGCTTGCACGCCTCTTCGACGGAGGCATAGATGGCGTGCAAGGTTCCATGGCCGCAGCCTTCGACGGCGATGCGAAGCTCCGAGCCCATTTGGAGTGTTGCCATCGAGTTCTCGCCATTGCATGTCATGGGAAAGTAAAGGGTTCTTGCGGAAAAGCCACGACTTTTGCCAGCACATCTGCCTCTTGGCTTTTGGCTTTTGGCTTCTGTTTTCGACCGTGTTCTTCTTCCTGCCATCGACATCGACATCGACATCGCCGCCTTACACGTCGAAGAAGGCGTCACTCACCAGAAATAGAATGGCGGAAGCGGCACGACAGCAGTACCTCGCAGCTGCAAGCGAAGCGCTGATGCTGTCCTCGCCAGCCATCTCATCCTACCTGCAAACGGTCAATGAGCAGCATGTCGGCCATCCTCAGTCATGCTCTGCTTGTGGCAGCACCATGCTGCTGGGCTGGAGCTGCACGAAGATCACCACGAAAGCTCACACACGCACCAGGCGTGATCGGATGTCAGGAACTAGCAAGGCGGCAACGACCACGCTCGAATGCCTGAGGTGCTCCTCCGTCACAACAGTCGTGGAACGGGGGCTACGAAGATCAAAGAACGCAAAACTCGATCGCTCGGGCAAATTACCTCTGGTCTCACATGAACAGCCGCTTCGAGCACCAAAATCTGCTATGGGAAAAGCGGAGGCCCGCGCGCCCTCGGCTGCAGGCTCCAAGAAGCGTGGGCGCGGGAAGAAAAGCAGTCTTCAGGCCATGCTCGCGGATCGCAAGACGACCGGCACTTCAAGCGGATTTGGACTGAGTTTGGACGACTTCATGAAGTGAACCCTCCACACTGCTTGGCTGTAGACAAAACTTGCCGTGCTGCCGCCTCCCCGACACCCCTATGGTCTTGCTGTACCCCGGGAGACGATTCTTGATTTCTATCATCCATCTCAATATCATCCATCTCAAAGAAGAAAACTGAGAATGAACAAAGTACCGACATATGGAATGACAACACAAATTCGCACATATCTCCAGAGAACCCAACCATCAGTAGGGACAGCCCTTGCTCGCTGACTGGGCCGTGCTGCACCTGCCTCCGGACCTCGATCTGTCAATGTCTCTCTGCCTGCTCGCTGCGGCTGGAAGACGATGTACAGTAATGGCGACATGCAGGAAGTCAAATACTTCGTCCACATAAGTGGTGGCCATCCAACTCGAGCTACCAAGTAGACGATCTTGCTGGAAGTCGAGTGCAGATCTTGTACTGGAAATAAGGTTGGTAACGTGTCGTCGTAGAGAGCTCGAATTATCACCAGAGCAACGCCGAGTATGGTGGTGACAACGAACAAAAGGTGAACGAAGAGAAGATGGTTCAGAAGTGCATTTCGAACGCGCTGTCGTGCCGGTTCTCGTTCCTTCAGCTCGAGATATGTGCTGCGACTAGGCGTAAACGAGGCGGTCTTGCCACCCAGAAAGTGTGATAGGAGGAAGGATTGAATGAAAGCCCAAAGCACATACGGCGCCATCCACTGCTCCAATTCGGCACCGTAGGATGTTATCCTTGGCTCGAAGCGACCATTCGCCAGACCGGCAACCAAACCCATCAGTCCTTGATGAAGCCAGTGGCAGGCAGACCAGATTGTGACAAGGCGGACGATCCACCTCAGCTCGTCATCAACCGTCCATATGACCATCGGATAGCCAGACCAGAGTGCGAATGGGATGAAGACAAAGTTCAGCGCAAGAAGCACTTGCACAAACTGCCGGACATCAAATGTGAGACCTGCAAATCTCTGCAGAAACGTGAAGTGCCTCCCTCTCGGTCTCGATAATCTGCCTTTGAACAGTAGCGCAATCTGCACTTGGCCGACGAACCTTCTCGTCCTCTGCTGAATGTGCACTCGAAATGAATGCGGAACTTCTCCGTACTGCAGTATTTCATGCACAAAGACTGTCCTCCACCCGGCACCGAGTAAGCTTGTGGAGCAGCAGGTATCTTCTGCTAGCGACTCTTCTGGAAAGCCACCGATGCCTTCGATTGCTGAGCGTCTGATAGCGTATCCGGGACCTTGGCAGTCTGCGTTGCCGAGCGAGCTATCAACAACTCCTGCAATCCCTGCAAGATGCGACATGGTCTGTGTCAATGGGTCGTTCACCGGAATGTTGTAAAATGTCTATGCACATGTCAGTATACAGGATTTGCCCCAACAGGGCCAGTCTTTGCTTACCTGCGGAGGGCACGCCAGGGCGACTCGCGGATCTTTTACGAGAGGCGCAATTACCGCTCTTAACCATTGGGGCTCTGGTATGGTGTCTGCGTCCAGAACAGCGATATGCTCTGAAACGATCGTTCCCAAGGTCTCATAGTGTTGCAGACGTATACCACTCCCTTGTTCAGTCGACGCGAAGTAATGCGCCAGATAATCTTCATCCTCGACCGCCATCGAGACCCGACAAACGTCAGGAAGGTGTCCCTGACTCTTCCTCTGAGCATCGAACGACAGTGACTGCCGTAGCTTCGAGGTCCTGATATCAGGTTTCTGTTCCAACGAAGTATCTCGAAGCAGCAAGCGATCCATCCACCTAGGTCTGGTCGCATGGCTCCGTTCCGCAGGCCAGAATACCGAACGCGAGTATCGAAGCCCATGATTCAGACTTCCAGCTTTGTGGTACGGTCTCGCGTCGTTCGCTCGTGAAGTGTATAAGAGATTTGGATACGAAATTCTAAGCTCTTGCACCATCTCACGAACATCGTCCGCAGCTCCGTCATCACAGACGAAGATGCGAAAGCGAGAACATGGATAATCGATCGTGCAGGCAGCAAGTATCGTATTGCGAATAACAGCTCGATCTTCGTTGCAGCATGTAATAAGAACGTCCACAGCCGGCACATCGCTACCAGTGAGAGCTGGAATTGGATATTTCGGACGACGAATGGCCAGGGTTCTAGGGAGGTATGAGAGGATGCTAGGCACTACGGAAATATCAGCGCGTGCGGCCAGTAAGTAAAACCAAGAAATTCATCCCTTACAAAATGCCAGCACCTCAAAGACGAGAAACAACCACGCGAAAGCCAAAGACTGTCGTCGATCAGACTGGGCCACCACCGTTCGATCTTCCGCGAAATTTTGGTATGCCGATACAATGCACTTGATGCGGTAAGCGAGGTAAAGCAAGAGAGAAATCAGACTGCATAATGCAGTTGGAGAAACCAGAATCCAGATGCCACGCAGAAGTCGAAAACGAGATCCTTGATCCATCATTGAAGCTGGCGTGCATCAATCCTCATCGACAGTGATGGACATGTGAATAGATAAAGTACCGTCCCCACAACAGGTCCGCGACCACGGCCACCTTTCAGGGGGAAAAAGTCTCCGTCGGAACTATGCAAGCACACCTAGATCTCGCATGGAAAGGTCGTGAGGTAGTAGTATCACCGTGGCGTGAAGATCTTTCGGGGAAAAAATTTCAGCCAGCACTCTGTTTGTAAAGAACAACAGACACTTCCGAGACCTTGTGCTGCGTGCGTGCGTGTGGGCATAAGAATAGTAAATAAGTAAGAGGTATTCTTAGTTGAACAAAAATCGAACACACGCGCCTGGCTGGCGGGTGATACAGGAAAAGCTAAACTCATTTCCATCCTGATCCCGATGGCGAGGTAAGAACTGAAGCGCCTCATCTCCAAACTTTTTTTCCCGCCGTCTGTCTTCTCCTCGTAATCCAAAGTATAAGGTATACATACATACATAACAAGAAGAACAAAAATTCCGTCTGTCTGTCCTCGGGTATCCATCCATGCATGCATCAAACAAAAACCATCACAAAAGATTCTGATTCTCTCACTGAAAATGCGCCTTGCTAACATGATGACTAACCGCCGCCTCATCGCCCTCAAAAAGGCCACAAACCGGACATTTCGCAATACTACTTCTCGCAAACTGCGGAATCGAAGGTCCAGGTCTAGGAGGAGAATGCTGCTGTGGTGATGGTTGTTGTTGTTGTGAAAAACGGTGATGATCAGGTTGTAAGAAATTGCTTGGAGGTCGTGAGGAGTTGTTGGTGTAAAATGAATTTGCGTCTGTGCTGCTGCTGTTTCGAGATGAGTTTTCTGGGACGTGATTGCCGCTGAACTGTCTTTGGTGTTGTTGGGGAGGGGTGGTGGTGGTGGTTTCGGAGTAGGCGCTGCTGGAGGTGGCGACGCTGTGGCGTTGGGAGGGATGGAGTTGGTTTGGGGCGGGTGCGGCTTGGTAGGCTTGATAGGTTTGTGCTTTCTCGACGTCTGGTGGGTATGCGGGCTGTCGTGGGGAGGGCTGCGGAGAAGGGGTTGAAGTGGAAAAGCTGCTGTCGCCTGGTAGTTCGGATCGGAAGACTTGTCCGTTTGGCTTGAGAGGTTGCGGGTAAAGGCTTTGCTGCATGTCTCCGGGCAGCTCGTTGATCATAGGCATATTGGCCGCGCCTGGTCGGGCATATTCCGGGCCACTGTATCCTTGTTGCTGATATGCTGGCATGTATGTGCTGCTGCGATGTTGGCTCGTGCTCGAGCTTCGCACAACGTCGTGATAGTTGCCATATCCCTTTTGATCCAACCTCGGGCCAAATCCCGCAGATATCATCGATGGACTCGGGCTTCCAGGAGGGCTGTTCGGGTTGAATCCAACGCTGCTCGCTGCATCCGAATCTGCGAAATCTGCTGGCTTTGATGTCTTCAGCCGACCATGCTCGAACATAGCATGCAGCTTTCCCTCGTCCAGAAGCTCGGCCTTCCGCGCCAATCTGTCAACCATCTTTCCGATCGCATCTTTCGTCTCCTTCTTGACGTAGCTCGCCAGTGCGAGGTTGCATTCAATCTGTACATCCTGTCGCATATACAGCCCGTCCAATGGTGTATTCACTCCCAGCTCTCTCGGCTCGCGCGGCTCACCAGGCTGATTTCCGCCTATGAGATATTTCACTCGCAGATCAACTCCCATGGGTGCATAAGTATGGCTCTGCATGCCCGTGGGCAAGTTGTGGAACACGCCCTTGAAGGCAATCTTCTTCTTCAGCCCGAAGCCCCATGTGATCACCTCGCTGATCTCGTACCACTCCGAGTAGTATTCATCGTTCGGCGCATCGCGAGGAGCTTCGATCGACTTGACTCCCGTGACCAGTGGGTTCAGTCTCGCAACTTCTTCATGGCTGTGTAACAGTTCGATGGCAAGCTGACGCGGGACGTTGCTGGGCAGCGGCGTGATCGAAGTGTATTGTACCTTCTTGCCCATCTTGGATTCGTGCCCAGATCCCATATACAGTACTTGCAAGAGCTGGGTCTGATCAAAGATACAATGCTCTCGGGAGGCCAATAGCAGCAGCAGCAGCAGCAGCAGTAGCGAAAAGGAGGAGGACAAGACAACAGTCGGAACAGTGGTATCTTACATGGCGCGCGCCCAGCAGGCGCAGCGATAGTACGCTTGGTACGGCGAGGCGTGACGAGTATGTGATCCTTCGCCGCAAGGGATCTGCAAGGCCAGTGTAATAAGTCACGCCAGCGCCAGCACCAGCACCCACCCAAGCAACGGTCGCACGCAAACTGTCAAAGCTGACAGAGCAGCACAGCACACTTCTCTCTCGCTCTCGCCCGCTCTTCAACTCGCTTACGTACGCTATCGGTGTCGCTAAGAGGCTCGGAACATCCTGGTCCCGGCCGCATCCATGATCCATCGGCTCCCCAGTTCGCTTGGACATTCGTCAAGACAGTTTGTAGATCTTCACCATGGCGACAAACTAACGTTACTGCTTTCGTAGGTCCAGGAGCCCAATTCGTCATGAATGTCACTGTATGTCATAGCCGTTCGCTCATCAATCGAAGCCAAGCTTGCCGAAATCCCAGCCTTTCGCCCATGACTTGGCAGGATCCAGAAGCACGTTAAAAGCGTTCTTGGGGCAGCATACTTGCACGGCAGTGGTGAAGATGGAAGCACGCTAAGTCACAGAACAGAATCGATCCAGTATGAAAGAAGAAAAGGAGGCCAGACGTGATATTAATTTCCTTTCATTTCAAGGAAACTCCAGCATCAAATCTCCATCCATCTTTTGCCGATAGAATGCAAACCATCACTTGCCAGCAGAGTGGAGTGGTGACAGGGTATCACTAATATACACAAATGCGACAATGCGCTCCTCCCGTTGTATCAAAAGCCCTCGCATGCCTCCAGTGGAACTGGGCAGCGGCTGTATCAAGTTCCCATTTCTGTCCCATCGCCTCACTCCTGAAGACCGGAGGGCGCTATATGTGTATAATTGCGCCAAAACACCTTCGCTAATGGCCGTCAATGCATTGGTATATATGCTGCTTCCTTCCATGCCAGAAGACAAAAGAAATTCCATCACTCAAAGAGTGTCTGGTTTGGAGGATCAAATCAAAAACGCCAGTCCCATGATGCAAGACATCAAGCTTAGCGCACAAGCTCGGCGATCTTGCCGGCTACAGCACTGGGATAGCCTCTGCTGAGCGCCTCGCGAACGATTGCCTTCGCCCTGTCGCGATCCTCAGCAGCGAGATACGCCCTAACCATGGCCTCGTACGTGCTGGGCTCACGACGCGAGATTGGGACACGATCAAAGGCCTGCTTGGCCTTGGTGATGTTCTTCTCCAAGGTCCAGCCGTGGATCAGAGCATTCGCAATATATGGTGTGAAGTCGACACCACGTGCCGCCATGTCTTGAAGAAGAGTTTCGCACTCTGCGGAGCGGTGGTTGGCGTTGAGAGATTCGAGCACGGCCTGGTACATGCAGGGCAGTGGCTGGACCTTGCCTTCGGCGAGGACGCCGTCGAAAAGCTTCTTGGCAGCCTCCATGTCATGCAGCACGCAGCCCTTGGCGTGGATCAGCGAAGCATAGTGCACAGCTTCCGGCTGGACGCCAGCGACCTTCATCTCATCAAGCAGTGCCTCAGCGGCTGCCATGTTGACCGGCTCCAGGGTTGCATGAGTATCGATGAGAAGCTTGTAGGTGTGCACAGTCGGCTGAATCCCCTTGCTGCGCATGCGTTCGTAGTATGCCAGGACCTTGGTACGGTCACGCTTCGTGGTCAGGAAGAACTGCATCAAAGAGTGGTAAGGGGCTGGACGAGGCTTGTAGTTGCTGCAAGCCTCCATCTCTTCGAAGATCTCCTCCGCAAACTTATCATCTGACACACGGCATAGTGCGTTCACTATGGTGCCGTATGTAACGGACGTCGGACGAATGCCTAGGTTGCGCATCTCAGCAAAGTAGAAAAGACAATCATCGATTCTGCGGGCCTTGCCAAGCTTGCCAATCAGCGCATTGTAGAGGAATGAGGAAGGCTCCACACCCTCAGCCTTCGCGCGAAGGAAGATCTTGACGGCTTCGCTGGCCTCGTCGAATGTCTTGGTGTTCTCCTTGAGCGTTGTGATGTACAATCCAAAGGTATTTGCAGAAGGCGCAAATCCCATGTCGATCATGTCCTGGTGGTATTTGCTGGCAAGATCTCGGCGGCCCACATTCAAGCATCCAGCAACCATGTGGTCCAGGATCTGCTGCCAGCCGAATCGGACAACACGATAGCGAGCATCGAATGGAACATCCTGCTTGGCCATCTCAAGAACGTCGCGAGCCAGGTTGAGGTTGTTCTCTTTCGCAGCCGCTTCGATGATTTTGCCATAAGTGAACATTCGAGGAACACGACCAACGCGGCGCATATTACGGAATTTGTTCAAGGCCTCGTTCATTCGACGACCGCGTGGCTGCTCAAGAAGCTCATTGATCATGTTAGAGCCCTTGATGTCGGTGCGGTTTGCGTATGGGTCGAAGGTATCCTCGAGCGAAGCTGGTGCCTGATATGAAACCACTGGCGTAAACGAAGCCGGTTGAAACGCTGGAGTCTGCGGGTATCGGTAGTTGTTCCACAGCCTGGAAAGCTCGGCGCGATCGATGTTGATCAAGGTCTTCTCGAGAAGAGTCTCTGTCTCTGCCGATGGCATTACCGATCGAGACACGACGTTCTCGACAAGGCAGCCAAAGCGAGCTGGTCCCGCAATGTCTGCTGGAGATTCTTCGAGGATCATGGTGCTCTGCACGCGGAGGAGGAACTCCAAGTCTGCTTGACTCAATCGAGCAATGTGCTCTGGGCCGAATCGAGCGACTAGGTGCTCTGCCACAGGCGAGACAAGGCTGCCATTCTCGACCATCATGCGCAAAACCTCTACGCTTGAATCTGAAGCAAGTATAGCTTGGTTCTTGAGCATAAACGTGCCCATGAGCTCAATAGCTTCGTCGACGTGCTGAGCAACTTCGATCTGCTGGCTCTCGGAAGTGGCTTCACGCAATCTGGCAAACATGCGCCGGGACTGCCTCAACCCACGCTCAGCTTGACCGATGCCGATTAAAGCCACCGCGCGCATGGTTGTAGGCTCGACGAAAGCTATGCTCACCGGAGCGGCCTCAAGAACACGCCAGAATGGTTCAGCTGCCTCAACATTGGCATTTCGCACGTGCATGGCAAGTAAAGCCATGCTGGGCTCGACCAAGTCGCCGCTGTGGCGCGTGAGAGTTTCAAATGCTTGGTTACTGATCTCAAGATTGTTGCCATCTGCAGCAGTGCTTGAAATGGTTGCCAGAGCCTGCGTGAAAGCACGGCCGTCAAGTGAGCCAGCGAGATCGAATGCGTCACGGAATGTAGTATCCCTCAATGCCAGTGGTAGAAGTGCGTCCAGTGCAATGACTTCACGCAGAGTCTCAAGCTCCTTCTCGTCGACGATACTGGCTTGAATGTTGGCGAGGAACTTAAGCCCGCCCTTCAGTCGGTCTGCACACCCATATGCCTTGATTACAGCTGCGTAGACCTGATTGTCGACACGGACGATAGTGTTTTCACCGGCATTGTTCTTAATGGCCAGCTCCTTGTATTCGTCATAGACTTCAACCGCATTTCGAAGATCGCGAAGGCCGCCGAACGCTGTGATCATTGGTGAGTAAATCGATGACTGCGGCTCCAGAAATTTGGACTCCATGTATTCGTAGACGCGGGTCATGTCCTCGATCCGTCCTTGCTCTGCGGATGCGATTACCAGAGACGCACATGCCGCGCTTGGGAGTGATTCTGTTGTCTCCCTGGCACGTTCGAACATCTTGAGGGCCATCGACAAGGAGCGATCCTCCATCAGCATGGAATGTTCGGCTTGGCTAGATCGGAACATGAACTTTCCTGGTTCTTCGAGACCTCCGTATCGCGAAAGGCGAGCATCCAAAGCTTTCTTCATGGCCATGGACTCAGAGGCTCGCGCAGCGAGAAGATCAATGAGCATGCCATAGGTGAGGGCATCCGGGATCACCTTTCGCCTAAGCATATCAGAGTAGACCTCAAGGGCTCGTGGAATTCTCAAGTTCGATCCTTGGGAAACTTCCAAGGCTGAATTAAGAAGGGCACGGTACGCGGCTTGCGATGGCTTCTGCACTCCATCACGTAGCATTTCCTGGAACGCGGCTGGAATATCCGCATACTGCTTGTTCTTTTCGAGTTCGAGGAGACGTTCGGTGTGGACATCATTAACCTCAGCTGAGTCGGCGCTCGAGAAACTCTCCGTCGGTGTGAAGATCGTGGCTGGACTTGAAGACTCTGGCTCGGAGAAGGCTTCTGAGTCAACCACGGAAGGTGACTTGGCTCTGATCGTTAGACCATCTAACGACTCCTCCTTTGCCTTGGCGATCTCTTCAGCGATAGCATCATCGACTTGCTTCAAGGCCTGCGCTTCGGCCGCTTCATTATGGAGGAAGGCCTTGCTGAAGTCATCAAGAGCGGTAGTTGTGTATGAGCGTTTGAGCAGAGGTGTTGCGGACTCGTTTGTTTCGGCGACGTCGTCAACATCGGCGACTTCTTGTACTTGGACCGGGACAACTGCGTGCGTCGCCGGCTTCCATTCCAAACGCCGCGCGAATTGAAAGTGCCATGTCGACTCCGTGCCCTCGTTGCGCTGGTGCTTCTGCCAAGCATCAAAATATTTATCTAGGCCAGAATCTCGGTGATGTCCATTTTCGGGCCTGACAGTAGCAGCAGTGCTGGCCTGTCGGCTGCCTTCAAGGTGATTGTAGACATTCTGTTGGCGACTCTTTGCGTTCTTGCGGAAGCGACCAATTAAGGTGTCCGCGAGCGGGACTGCTGAGGTGTTCTGAGCAGCATAGCTGGACTGGGATGCGGCTACAACGGTTTGGGCGTAGCCGTGGGTGAAGCTCTTGAGAGCGGTGCCTGCAATGCGCGAGATGTGCACTGTAGGCTTGACGTAAGGCATCGATTGACTCGACTGACGCGCCCTTCCACCGAGAAGGGAAAGACTAGATGGCACATGTGGTCAGCCAGGCGCCAAGGATGCGGTGGAGTGGTGTCCAATACGTACTGAGGTGATGGGGCGGATGGTGCAGGTTCACTTGGCTGCCGCCAAACAAACGCGCTCGGTTGATTGTGGGTGTTTTGGTGGGAAGATGTGTTGGCGTGAACGTGCAAACAGCGTGGAAAAATACTGCCAGGAGGTGGGCAGATGCCAGATGGGTGCCTGGCGTGGGGGGTTAGAACTACTCGACCCCTAGGTATTCTTGTATGTCAGGAAATTTAGCGTACCACTGTTTGCAACAGTGGTTTACTTCCGGAGGGCGTTATCTACTGACTCAGTATGGTTTGCCTAGTAATCGACGGTGCTTTTCCTATTCTAGTACCGTGTTAACCTTCTCGGTTATACTTCTAGTTCTAACCTTATCTCTATAGCTCTTTCTTATATATAGATCTAGCTCTTTCTATAATAGCTTAAATACTATTTAATCGTTATTATTGTTATCGTCGCTATGCCGCCTATCTTATCTAAACTAGTACCGCCGCCGTTTAGGCCTAACCGTATACTATATAATATAATCGATATCCGAGAGTAGCTATTTAATATACCGTAGGGGTTAACTTTCGAGCCTAAGCGCTTCGAGGTGCTAAAGGGCTATATAAGCAACGTATATAAGGAGGCGAAGTCGTAAAGGACGAAGGATAGATTATAATAGCGGTCGCACTAGTATTGTCGTTATAGGCGCGATTAGTAGCGGAATAGGTCGCCCTCGGAGGGTATTCGCAAGGCTAAATATAATAAAGAGCTATATAATGCTATAATACTAGTTATCTCGCACTTCCGGAGTAAAGAAGAGGCTAATCTATATAAAATTAGTATCCGCTATTACCGAGTCGACCCTTCTATAGTAGGTAATAACCTATACTACTATAACCTAAAGTATATAGATATTAGGTCGGCTAGCAACGCCTTAAGGGTATTGCTCGAGGAGTTAATAGAATAGCGTAAATTTAACGTTACTAAGGTTATTAAATTTGTTAAAAATAGCCTAATAAAGGACGAGTTTAGTAAGATTAGTAGGCAGTATATAAAGGCTAGTACTATCGGTTAGTTAAAGATTAGGCCGGACTTAAAGAAGGTGCGTAGTACTAAGCGTAGAAATGCGAATATCTAGCTAGGCGACCTTCCTACTATTCTTAATAGCCTTTATAATAATATAGACGGCAAAGAGCTTAAATACTAGGTAATATCGAAGAGATTAAAGGGCAAGGAAGAGCGTAGTATTGTATTTCAGACCGACTAGCAGCGAGAGTTGTTAAATACTAAGGTAGGAGATGTAAGTGCAGGTATTGTTATTATTACTATAGAAGGCAGGCGCATAACTAAGCTTCTAAGCTTACGTTCTATAGTTCTTACGACTAACTTCAAAAATTCAAAACATTACTAACTTACATACTATATAGTTATTCTTGCTAGACGCAACTTATAAGACTACCGACCTTAGCTAGAGCCTTTTTACTATATATATTCGTAACAGGTTAGGGTGCTAGTTGCTAGTAGGATATATATTGCTAGAATCTTAGAAAGCTAAGCTAGTAGAAGCCGGTCTCCGAGTCCTTAAAGGGTGGTTACTACTATAGAATGCTATTGCAGCTATAGTAGACGACTCGGCCTCTAAGTAGGCCGCAATTAACCTCTCTTAAAAGGAGAAACAGGTGCTTATCTACCTCTACTAGCGGTACGTTAAAGAGACCTTCCTTCGCTTATTTCTAGAGGCCTAATTTCTAGAGGTTGTTAAGCGATTCTACTACGCAATCTATTACGCCCGCAGCGCTAGCGAGGTTACTAACGATATAGTTTAGATCTAGGAGTAGTTATAAGAGAAGAAGCCTATAGACTAGCAAAACAAGGTCTAATATATACACTATAATTAGAATAGTTAGACTTTACGAACATAGGCTATATAGGCACGGCTCTATAGTCTATTGTTGCTGCAAATACGGACAACTTCGCCTCTCGAGGGCTATTACTATGCTATTAAGTATAACCGGAACAAGCGGAACCTCGTGTTCTATAACCTCTATAGTACGATTCTCGAGGTTCTTAAGGTAGACGACAGGCTAGCTTATAAGGCATAACTCGCTAGCTATAGGGTTAGCAAAGGCACATAATACTAGTATAAAAAGCGCCTTCTAAGCTTCGAGAGTCTGCAACCGCTAGCGGCTTAAGATCGACTGCGAGAACAGGTAGATATCGCTATTAAGATAGAAGCTAAGGCAGCGCCTATTTATAAGGGCACACTGCGCAGTTACGACTATATAACTCCGGCTCGTTACAATTGCCTCTCGTAGTTTTAAACCCGCCTACCTTGTTACTATATTCTATAAGACCACCTATTTAATAGACTAGAAATTAGTAAGCTACAATAGCGACGATATATCGAGCTGTTTCTAGGCCTTAACGTAATGTTTGCTTACGAATACTAGCGCGTTCTCGATACTTAGCAACTCGTAATCGAAGGTTACGAAGAAGACGCCGTTGCCTTAGCACAAACACCTTAATTAAGAGACCTTCGAGGCTACTTTAAGGAGGCAGTAGAAACGCTGAATCTAAAATATTAGCGCATAGCAGACGACCCTACTATTAACGCTTCTATAAAGGACTTATTCTACGCCTTCTACGTACGGAAGGTTAAGGACTTCTCGGACAGTTGCTACGTACTAAATGTTAACTATTTTATCGCTAATCTATAGGAAGTCCTATTTATAGGCGAGACCGAGCGACGGTAGACGACTTAACTACCTTCTAAACTAGCGATACTAACTCTAGCGACACTAACTCGCACTCGATTGCTACTAACTATACTAGAAACGCACTATGTCTATACTAATATAACACTGCGACCGTTACCTTCAAAACGGCGCGTTTAATCGTTACCTATTCGCTAACCTATATTCTTATTACTACCTCCGCTAGGTAACCTTACTCCGAGGCCAATTCCGCGCCTACCGCCGCCCTCCTTCGATACGCCGCGCCGCGAGACAACGCTAGAAATATAGTCCTTATAACCGCTCGATTTAGACGATATAGAAGAGGTAGATTTAATAGGAGATATAGAACCGCCGCCGCTAGTGCGAGGTCCACCTACGCCGCTAGGTACTTACTATTTGACTAACTACTAGCATTAGGGTAAGCTATTATAGCTTTATATATACGGTATTCGCGAGATTAACGGCATTACTATAGACGACCGCTGCTTTACAGATTCCGGCCTCTCGTCCTTTAACGAGCTTCTTATCTTCTATAACGTAGACTAGTACACTATAGATAGGATAATAAGCTACATCCGAGACGAGAATTACGAACGAGCGAACAGGCGACTAAATAGATAGACAATAAACGACTCGGAAGACGACGCCGCTAATAACTTACCTAGCGACAAGCGAGTTAGACGAGAGATAAGAGGTTTAAGAACATATAGTAACCGCCAGTTAACCGCTAGTAAGCTAGCAATACGTACGAGACTACGTACTAAGTAATAACGAGGTCGAAGAGATAGCTATTAGCGTAGACAAGCCTTCCGCTATAGTCGTAGAAGGCGGTAAAAGCAACAATAGTATTCTATAGCAATAGTATGTATTTAATCTTAGTCTATATATTAGTCTATAATAGTCTCTTCTACTGCAAAAGCGCCGCTTCTATAATAGTTAAATAGCCGCTTTAATAATAGTTAACCGATAGGCTCGAGAGAGGCGCCCTTCTTAACCTAATCCGTTACTACGCCGAGTAGTTCTAAACAGCACTAAACTAGAGGATTGCGGGTAGCTTATTGCCTAGTAAACGCTAGTAAAAGACTGTGCCCCTAACTCCGCTCTAGGTTTAGCTAAAACTCCTAACATCTAAGAGTAACCCGACCCCTGCCTATATAATTATAACTCCTACTATAGTAGGCTTTTATCCTTCGTAGGTATCTACAACTAACCCTTATAACAATAAGGCACCCTGCAATATAATAATTAAATAAAGGCATATAAGCGAGGCAATCTAATCCAATTAAGCGTCTATTTAATAACTATATGCCCTACTATTATATTACGTAAAGATGCTAAAATCTCTATAGTAAGGACTAGATAAGCCGTTTAGCTTAACAAACCGAGACAACAACCCTTAATATTTAGTATCTAGTATGCTGTCTATTACGCTATACAACCCTTACTATTTAACGATAGAACGAGCCCGTAATCGCCTTAATTTCCGCCTTAGTTATAGTATCCTAACAGTCCTATATTATCTCTTGATGCCTCTCGTCGCTTAAGGGGTATCTATACCGGGTATTAAGCCGATACTTTATAAGAGCCTAGATATTCTCGATTAGATTAAGATTAGGCGAGTTTAGCGGCTATATATCTAGACAATAGTCGATATTGCTAGCAGTAAGAGCGTTACGAGTGCGCTATACTTTATAGATTAAGGTACTATTAAGAATAAGCAGTAGACGCTAGGTTAGTTACTAGATAATAGCGAGTAAATAAATAGGTAGGTTAAAGTCGTCGCTTTCTAAGAAGTCTTCTTCTACCCTCTCTATAGCGATCTTTATAGCGACTTCTTCGTAAAAGCGGACAATCTCTAGTATTATATGCTTAGTAAAGGTGCGAGAACTAATCTTGCTCTAAGCACGATTAAAGAAGATTATCCGGCTCTTCTACTTGCTAGCAATAAGTCCGAAGCAATGCTATATCTTAATCCGCCGGAAGCGAGGTCTAAGGTAGTCTAGATCGTATACCTTACTAATAAGACGCGTAACAAACGTACGAGTTAATCTACCCCTTCCGAAGGCAATACTATTAAAGAAGACTATTATTCTGCTAGCATCTAGCTATGCTAGCGACTATATACTAAACTAAGGCCTTAGATTAAGCATATCTACGTCTAGTAATAGCATCTTTCTTGCAACGCGTCTATAGTATCTAAGCTCGTTTAAACGGCGCCTAACCGTAGAAACTAAACACTTAAGACCTAGTTCTTCCTTAATCTTAGCATAGCTAGCTCTACGGCCTTCTACTAAGCCTATAACAAAGTCGACGATGCGATTAGTAATAGGTATACTAAACTAACGTAGGCCCTATATAAAGCGTTAAAGGGTTAGTGTTTCCGGCTCGTTTATAACGCGCTAAACCGTCGAATACGGCTTATTAAGGAAGGCTAATATTCTCGATAGATACTAACCGAGGAAACGACGAAGGAACTTAATAGCGTAGCGTATAAAGGCAGGTATAATGCGATAGCGTTAACGGCTGTATTCGAGAGCCTCGCGAGTGTTCTATAGCAGTCGTTTACCTAGTAGTATCGAGGGCTCTTTAGTTAATAGTTGCTAAACCTATAGTAGGCGTCTTCTACCGACGATTTAAGTAGATTAAGAAGATTAAGCTAGAGTCTAGTAAGGAGGCACTTCCTTAATAGGCTCTATTGCAACGTAGTAGTTAATAACTTAATAGTCTATCTATAGTAGCTTCTATACGCCTTTTATAACCTCTACGTACCCTTAGTCGCGTCTACAATTACTATAGTAAGGACGCGGAAGTCGCGTTTCCTCCCCTATTTCGTAGTTCTCGTACCTAGCGGCTAACTAGCTAACTTAATTACCTCTACTAGGTCTCTAACCTCTTCTTTATACTATTCTTCTATCTATTTTATAAGGAACTAAGGTCTCGACAGAGGCCTATATCCCGTGTAGTATAATGCCCTCGGTAGGTAGGGCTTTATAGAAGAGGCACGTAGAAGCGTAGTTTTAAACTAGCTAAGACGCCTATCTCTCTACGGATTAGGCTATATACGAGCTAGCGGCAATCTACAACCTTGTTAACCGAGACAGACACCTTGTAGACCTACTGGGCTTTCACTAGTGTAGTGGCTATTCGGTCCATTCAGTGGCTACATACCCCCTGCAATACCCATCAGATCTGGAAGCCTACTGTAGCCGCCTTAAGTTCCCCTTAGCCTCCGACTTCTCTTCGACACAGCCTGCAGCACCATTCCTGCCAATGCCCGCCTGCGAGCCATCTCAGCCTCCTACGCCTCCGGAATCCCTCGATACGCATCCCGGATTACATAGAATGGTCATTTGACTTCACCTCCTCATCGCCTCCAACTCTCGCATTGGAAGTGGAAGTGAGCCCACTCGTCCCGCAAATCGCTCCTCGGCACCTGTCAGCTCCCTCCGATCCCTTTTCGTACGCAAGGACTTTCGAGCGTTGCTCAGCAAGTCATCTGCTCTATCCCATCCAGAAACCGGACATATCGTCCACACTCCCCGTCCCGCCGGCCTCTCTTTCGTCCATCCGCGTCCGCGTGCGTAAGCAACCGAGCCTGCTTCGGCCGGCGACGCACCTCTGTCCGACTGGATGGCCGGCAACGCGGTCGCCGTTTCAGCCCCAGGCAAAGTCCTCCTGGCTGGAGGATATCTGGTGCTGGATCGCGCGCATACTGCTCTGGTGTTTGGACTGGATGCTCGTATTCATGTGCTGATCCAAGACATTCCGACCAGCAAAGGCATTGTCCTTAATGAGATCACGGTCGAGTCACCACAGTTCTCGGAAGCAGTCTGGGAATATGGCTATCGTCTCGCTGAGAGAGAGGCAGGCATTGAAGTCACGCCGCTGAGAGTGTAAGTGTTCCAGCATCACAGATAGGTTCTTGCGTCCTCATGTCGTGTCCTACCTGCTTGCTCTGTGTAACTTTCCTTTTCTGTCGAGATCGACATGACGATCACACGTCTATTCTCTCACATGAATATGCTGTACGATATGTGGACACCCTCACTTACGCAATCATGCCTGGGCAGGGACGCTGACCTCAACCTGAACCGGAACCCGTTCATCGAGACGACGCTGAGCTACGCGCTCAGCTACATTACAGCAGTGTCTCACACGACCATTGCACCAGCATCAATCACAATCTTAGCCGACAATGACTACTACTCAACCCCAGCTGATATTGCAGATGGGTCTGCATCGAGGCCACGATTCCACAATTTCGCGGTGCCCATAGCGGATGCTCCAAAGACAGGGCTTGGATCTTCGGCGGCCCTGGTCACAGCAGTAACAGCAGCGCTTCTCATCTATTATCTGCCTAGGTCGAAATTTGACCTAAAAACGAACGAGAGCAAGAGACGCCTGCACAACCTCGCTCAAGCGGCCCATTGCGCTGCTCAAGGCAAAGTTGGCTCTGGTTTCGACATCGCCTCTGCTGTCTACGGGACCTGTATCTACAGGCGCTTCTCGCCACACATCCTCAGTCACCACGCGGAGCCTGGTATGCCCAAATTCGCCTCTGAACTCCAGGACATTGTAGACGAGAACCATCACGGCGGCAAATGGGATACGGAAATCCACAAAGATGTAGTCAAGATACCCAAAGGTCTTCGTCTGGTCATGTGTGATGTATCTTGCGGCAGCAAAACTCCTGGCATGGTGAAGCAGGTGTTAGCCTGGCGGAAAGAAACCCCCGAAGAAGCGAATGCCATCTGGAGTGAACTCCACGACGCCAACGAGAGTCTGGCCAAGGAGCTCAGGAATGTCGCGGAATCCAACGATGGCTCTTATACAGCTCTGCGACAACGCTTCACTCGTATACGAGAACTGATACGCTTAATGTCGGACAAGAGCGGCGTGCCAATCGAGCCTCCAGCTCAGACGGAACTGATCGATGCTTGCGAGAGAGTGTCTGGCGTAATTGGAGGTGTAGTACCCGGCGCCGGAGGTTACGACGCTGTTGTGCTCCTGGTCGAAGACAAGTCAGAGACTTTCGAAGGTCTGGAGACGTTGTTCGCGGACTGGAAGTTCAAAGGCGAAGGTGATGGTAGTGGAAAAGTGAGTATGCTGGGTGTTCGGGAAGAAATGGAAGGTGTCAAGCTTGGAGACACTGCGGTATACAAGCAGTGGTTGAGCGACCTGTAGATAACATCCAGCCCATCAAAAGTTCTAATAGATCTTGCATCGTTTCGAGAATCGGCTTTCCCGTACCTTGATTTCTACCCTTGCGAACGATACGTACCTACTCTCCTATCCAGATCGCCATCCATTCACTACTCGATCATGGTCCAATGCACCAATTCAACCCCCAAGCAGGCACCAAGAATCCTTTTCATCCAGACCCCTTATCTCCAGTACAAGACCAAGGCATTGACTCTCGTATTCGTCCCATGCCTGCATGGCTTCGCAGTAGCGCCTTGCGAACTTGGAAGTATGATGAACAGTACTATAGTCAGCACAACATCCCCAAGCTTCTCCGTACAAAGCTCTCCCTACCTCGCACGTCTCGAAAGGAAATGATCAGGACAGCTCTTTCTTCCTTGATGACGTTATTCCTCTGCCTACTGCGTCCCTGGCTCCCAGGTACGGGGGGTTTCAATGTCTTAACAATGCCTGTATGCCTGCCTGCCTGTCGTCTTCAGACTTCGTGTATACCTACACCTCTTTCAACAATGCATCCTTGCTACTTCCCATCCTTTTCCCTCTGCGCAGCCTTCGCACCCTCCTTTTGCAACTGAACAATCGTATCCTTAGAATTCTGAATTTCGCCTCGATCTGCCTTGACCTGTGTCCACCAACCATGATCATTAGCAAAAATCCACACAACACAACACCCTCATTATACCCATGGGCGTCTAAACTCACCACACTCTCACTCTCACTCGCAATATCCTCTTTCCAAGAATTCTTCCCTTCCTTCTGATCCCTCAATTGCTGCTGTTTCACTCTCTCGATCTCTTCCTTGCGAGCTTCATCAGCTGTGAGGAAAGAAAAAAAAATTAGCCTAGCCTATCCTTCTTGAACGTGAAATTCTGTAGTATAATAAATACCAGGTTTGGTCTCCTTCCCAGCTCTCAAAACTCTCACGCTCGTGAAACTTCTCGTGAAAGCTCTCGTGGGAGCAAGCATTCTGAAAGCGGACATGGTTCGGAGCTTGGCGATGAGAGCTTTGTAGGCCCTACTAGGTTGTTGTGTGATGAGATTGCGAATGGATTAAAGTTCAGGAAGGCAGGTATGTCGAGAGAGCAGTAATAGGAGTCGTGAGTGACTTGAGTACAGAAGATCTTGCGAGGCTCAGTTTGTTCGGTTGACGGAGCAGCGATGTCGTCACTGTCGGGAGGCGACGATGGTGGAACGCAAAAGCCCGGCGAGATGACGACCCCGAGTAAACAAAGGGGAAAGCCGAAGACAGCTGTTCATGTTCATGCGAGTAATAATTTTGAAGCAGTAGAGACTGCTGTACAGAATACCATGTGGCAGTCATTCTTGAGGACGCAGATCAAATGGTCAATGAGTAGAGTGCAAAGGTTGATTCGATCGAACATTGGTCGTCGCATTCTGCCACTAAAGAGTAGCTAGATACGGTAGAGTACAGATCCAAACAAAGGCCATCGCTGAGTGAAGAGGATACTTCTCCTTCAGCTAAGAGCTAGCCCAGTCCCGTGTTAAAAGAGAACGAACGCCCGCAAACAACACACAATGGTATATGATCATGCCGCTTCTGCCATCACCACACAAAACACCGTTACAAAACAATGACCATGTCACAGATCGCCGTCTGCTTTTTGGATGACAGGCCGCAGCGTCCCCCTCCATTTTCGCCACTTTTATCGTGATGCAGACGTATTTTCCGCTTCTTCGCTGTTTTCGTAGACGTTCTTCGCCCGACCAACACCATGCCAAAATAAATCCAATCAACAAGAAGTGAGAGAAGCCACAATCATTGCCAGTTAAATGCCGTCAAGTTATTCGAGAAATAAAATATCCCCATCCGAGTCCGTGTATCATGTCGCTAAAAGTAAAGACGAGAAATGCCGTGTCGCTTTATGCTATTCGTAATGCTGCTGTAACGCCGTCATCGCAGAAGGGAAGAGCCGTTCCCGCTTTATAGAGTCGTATCGGTATTGTTGTTTGTACAAGGTATCGTTCAATAGGAATGCCCGACCATGCTCGGAAACACGGTGGAGAAGTGAGAACGTCTCGCCAGCCCGACGACGCAGAACGCAGCACAGCATTGACCAGCAAGCGATTGGCGCTTACCACTGGCGGCGAACGTACTGCTGCTGCATCTGTCGGCCTGGCGAGACAGACATTGGAGGGCTAGCCACCGAGCGGGTCGATGGGTCCACAATCGGAATCGCATTACGAGTCCGCTGGGCCATTGGCTGGTGCAGCTTGGTGTGGGTTTGCTGATAGTTCGCAGACTGGTATGCATGCGGGACGGAGGAGAGGAGGGCTGATGGAGTAGGCTGTACCTGCTGCTGTAAAGGCGAGGCTTCGGGTGAGCCAGACGAGAGAGAACCTCTGTCAGAGCCTGATGACGCTATGGAAGTGAGCTGTGATGAAAGTTAGCGGGAGCTCTTTGACATTGGATCACTGCGACATACATCTTCCTCGGTCAAGAGGTTGAAAGGGCAGAAGACCTCGTCGTCATCGAAGTCGAAGCCTATAGCAGCTTCTAATGTCCTCATGTAGTCGATGTGTGTCTGCGGCGCAGGCACCTCCTCTTTAGGACTCCGTTGAGCCTTGTATTGCCGATGGGCATTCTGGGATGAGATTCTCGGACCTCGACGACTGCGCCCGTGGTGACCGTGAGAGTGGGAGTTGTGCGACTGCTGGGCAGACTGGTACTGAGGAACTCCATAGTGATAGCTCGCCATGATTTAGGTGGTGTTGCGGAAGGCTTTGGTGTGTTGTTTGAGTCGTAGGTGTGTAGCTGAGTTCGGGGTGTTAAGAAGGGGCTCCGATCATAACAAAGGCGGAATCTGCCCTACTGTTGCGTGGCCAAAGTCCGGAAGCGGTTTCGCAGTGTGGAATGCAATTGCTTTTTGCAGTATTCGAGAGCGAAGAATGGAGTTGTATGCTGTCGAAGGCAGAGAGGTGGTATACAGTCGTAGAGACGCACAGTGCAAGACTCGATGCAGTGGTGGTGGTTGGCAGGGCCGGGACAGCGCGAGCGAAGGCGGGAGAAATGTTGGTTTTGCGACGGCTCTCGCGCTTGACCCAGTTCGTGCCTAGCGCTGCACAGGTCATTTCGAACGGCAAATACTAGTTTGCAGGTACCTCCATGCTATTTTGTAGGTACTCAGCTGAATGTAGATAAGTGCGTACACGGACGATTTACAGTATACTTGAGCCCGATTTAGTATACCTAAATATCGCACTACCTACTAATTCGAATTGCTAGTAATAGTAACGCTTAGGGTTAAGAACGAGGCATTTCCGGAGGCTGTCGATTAAGTAGATATATAAGACTATTAGAATTGATTGCTATAACCTACGTACTAATAGCTACGAGGGTGTAGTACTAGCTACTACTACTATAGAACCTAACCTCCGTAGAGCGGAGTAGTTAATAGTAGCGGAGCTATAGAGCCTAGTATATACTATTGCTAAGTAAATACCTATTAATTTAATAGTAGTCTAAATACAGTCGGTTAAGTCGCTACTAGTAGTCCTATAGCCTATAGCTATATAGGTTAACTACTATAGAACTAGACAAACTATTGCTAAGAATAAGGCACTACTAGGGCTATTAGACGTCTACTAAGTGCTATAGCGGCTCTTTGAATACTAGCTAGATCGTTGCTAATATAGCTATAGCGCTTAGTAGGTATATAAACTAGCGGAGCTAAAGGCCGTAGTTATTATATTGCCGTACGAGACTGCTAAGTAGATACCCTTATACGCCTTCTACGGCCTCTCTAAGAAGCCAGGTTTAACTAATCTATATACTCGAAGCTAGAGGCTTTACGTTAGTTAGTACGTACGTACCGCCTAGTAGGTACTCTACCTCTACTACGGCGGTTGTTTAGCAATATAGATAGCTCTTAAACCGGCCTCTTAAGCTTAATAATAGCTCTTAGCGGTACCGCTACCTTATCGATAATCTAGTGCCTATTAAAGTCCGTATAGGGGTCAAATTCGAAGGAGCCTATAGACTTAATAGCATTAATTATTCTATACTTATAGACTATACCCTAGGTAATGCGGAAGTAGCCTAAGTATTAAGAGCGTTGCTTGCCTAGCTCCTTAGCAAGTTCAGCTATCTCTTCGTACGCTAACTTAAGTTAGTTAAGGCCCTTCTATAAGGCCTTGTAGTAAACCTTCGTATTAACCTTAGCAAACTTAGGGCGGCGGAGTGCTATAGGAATACCCTTCCGCTCTCGGCCTATTCGTACCTTAATCTCCGAGTACCTAATTATCTACTATAGCTTTAGCTTAAGGAAGAGTATAAGGATGTTATACCGCCTGCTAGCAAGCTACCTCTTTATAGTTAAGTAAGCGCCTCTAGCTCTAGAAGTAACTAACTGCCCGTAGAAAGGGAATTTGCGCTACTAGAAGCAGTATACTAGCTTGTACTTATAAGGCTAGTATTTACGCTAAATATAGTCTCGAAGGGCTACGAAGTAAGGGTTCTTATAGTTACTAAGGAAGGCATCTTTAGAGTTAAATTCTTCTACTATTTTAGCGTAGACGCAGGTCCGGAAGTTGTCTACGAAGGCAGCGCAGTTAGGGTCGTCTTGCTACTTATTCTTACCTGTCTCTTTATTAAGTACCTATTTCTAAGGTATTAGCTTCCGTGCCTGCGCCTATACGTTCTTAAATACATACTAGGCGCAAATAAGACGCCGGAGTACGTAGATAGGTCTTATCGAGGGCATTAATATAGCTACGGTCTCGATTAGTAACCTATAGACTAGGCTATAGTAGATCGTGCTCCTAGCAAATAGACTAGAAGTTCTTAGCAAACTACGTAAAGGCAGCTTTATCCTTATTACCTATAATATAGTACCTAAGAGGGATTGTATCTCTAGCTCTAGTACTAGATACGATATTAAGTAATAGCCGATTGTACTTGTTTGTCTTATAGGTGTTGTTAATAATAATATAGTCCGGATATAGCTTATACAACTCGGCTATTTAAGGGTTGATTACAAGCAATTTATCGAGTTTCCCGTTCCTTAGGTCTACCTGCTTTCTAAAGTAGAAACCTAGCTTAGTTAGCTGCTTAAATAGGGCCTTAGGGGCAGTTAAATTATCCTGTATAGCCTTCCGTGCCTAGAGCCTAATATTCTAAAGGTCCTTAACGATTTGAATGCCTATAGATAGTATATTATAAGCAAGAGGGTTAAGTTAAGAAGGGAAGAAGTAACTAAATATTAAACGGCCGAGACTCGGCCGGTTAACTTCGAAGAATTTAACTTACAATCGTTACTTTCTATAAACCTATACAACGTCGTATATATACTTGTATTAGTATTTAGATCGTCGATAATAGCCTTCTATATAGCCTTATTACGCTACTACCGACGGTAACTCGCGAAGTCGCGCGTAGAATCCGCTAAACCGTAGTTATACGAGCTAACCTACCTCTTAACTTACTATCGACTATCCGGCTTTATAGAATCTATAGCCTTAATAGTAAGGCGTACTAGACACCTATAGCGCTTAGAGGTTGCTCCTTTTCTCTTCGTCTTAGCACTCTTATTAGTCGGTTTACTAGCTCTTATATACTATATCTAGCGACTAATAATCTTACTACGAAGCTATAGGTTAAGCGCTCGCGATTTAGTCGTAGACTTAATATAGAGGTTATAACGCGCCTTCGCAGTATACGCGTAAACCTTACGCTTATATACTACTATCGAATAATAGGTGTCTACTAGCACTAGCGCTAGTAGCGCTACGGACTTATTATCTTCTTTCTCGACCTCGATTTCCTTATTCTTAACCTAAGAGGCTAATTGCTAAGTAGTCCGTACTACTCTATTACTATTACTATTACTACTACTACTAGTAGCCTTACGATCCTCGTCTTCTTTCCGCGCCTACCTTTCTAATTCGTACTTACGACGCTCCTTATTATTTAGATTATTTAAATCTATCTCTTCGTCTTTATTCTTACTAAAACTACTATTTCTAATAGAACTATTACTACTAAGTCTTAGATCTCCGAGGTCTTTAGTATCCTAGAAGAAATCGCTAGGTTCTAGTACGGACGACTCGTAAAGAGCTTAAGAAGCGGATATAGGTATATTAAGTAGTAAATAATACCTTAGAATCGCTATACCGTTAAATTATAAAGAATATAAGAATTTACGAAGTGGAACACGCGACGCGTCGAGCGCCTAGCACGCTATACCATTCTCAGCCAGTTTATACTGTCAAGCGTACTATACCCAGTGCGGATACTGCCTCCCCGATTCGGGTAGGTACCTGCAAAATAGCATGGAGGTACCTGCAAAATAGCTTTTGCCGTGGCAAAGGTTTGCCACTGACGATGCAGCCCTGTCGACCCAATCATCACTCACAGATCCTGCCGGGAGCTCCACTTTCTGGTCTGGGCGACGACGATCTTTGGCCATTGTGGCCATGTTACTTTTAGATGCTGCTGCCGCAGGTCGAGTCCCAGCAGCTCGCGCTCTAGAATCCAGAATCCAGATGCTGACCATGTTGAGACGATGCTTGCGCACATTGTATGATTGCGTCTGAAAAATAATAATAACACTCACCCTGGCGCAACATACTGTATCTCTAACAGGCAACGTGGATGATTCTCCCTTGGAGTGTGCAATCATTCGCTGTCAGTAACATGCCGCCGTGGGCGCATCCGCATCGCTCGGCTCTGTCTCAGCACCTGACACCATCCGGCATGGCTCTCGCAGCACTGCGCAGCAAGTGTTGCCTGCAGCTGGAAGCGCCCGCGAATGGGCAGTGCTGCACTATTCCGTGAGCAGCATAGCATCAATTTCAAGGTACCGCACAGTAGTGATGGAGCCCACCATCCAGTGTATCGTGTATACAGCGTGTAATACACCATGTACACAGCCCTCGAGGTCGGATGCCTAGTATACACTCATAGAGGAGTCATGCAATTCGCGGATAACAGCCGAGATACAGGCTCAGCGCCGTCGGCGGTCGGGTTTCTTAAGATATCGAGGTATTAATGTGGGCCCTCTCCTGTGTACACCTAGTATACACCCGTATATTACATGGTGTATACAAGGGCGATTGCTAATCCACGGTGGATTCACATCCCTACCGCACAGGACACGGCAGGCCATGCGCGTGGCAGCCAGTGCCTGTCACCGCCCTTTCCCTCTGCTTGCGCATTGCACCCTGTTCCTATTACGCGTCGGTTGCGCTGTAGACTACCAGTAGTGAAGCAGCTCGGTAATGCGCCGTAGCTCGAGCCTCGAGGTATACCAGTCCAATTCGGCGCAAGGATGGCCGCGATGCAGACAGTCACTAGACACAGGAGACGCAGCAGGATGCCTCCTGGGCTGTCGAGGGTGATGCCGTGACGTTTCCGCGTAAGCCGGCGTGTCTCACAGGGTTCATTCTGCAGAAGCTCAAAGTAGGAGGTATTTGCCTTTGTGCTCTCATTGGAGACATGCGGCTTGAGAGCTTCTCGTCGCCTGCACCCGACCCGTTGTTTCCCGTCGCTTTGCGCCGAAGTCTGGTGATGGCCAAATCTATCAGCCAAACATCCCCCGAGATGCAAGAGACGATGTAGGACCTCATGTGTCGTGGCAATGACACAGGCAAGAGTCGGGATAGACACAAGCGACGACGATGCTCTCGGTTGCGCGGCAGCGATGCCTAAGCAAAGAACTTTGTATTGGGTGTTCGGAAAGACGAAGACATGGCCGAAGATGCGTGATCAGGAATTTCCGGAACATTGATGTGCTTTGCGTCGAGCTTGAAGTGTGGTGCACATGGCGAAGTGGGATGGACTTCAGCGTACCTGCCTCCAGTCGCGCCTTCACTCAAGGGCCCATGTTCATTGTCCACTGCGCCCATCGCAGGCCGCTCTGCACGCGAGGTCTGGAACACGATGTATAGATTTGGGTGATGAAGAACGCAGCAAAGGGAAGAGCGGCGTGGCGTGAATGCCCATGCAATTTGCGGAAAGCACTGCTGACAGGCTTAGAGCACGACTCCAACTCCCAGCGCCGCCTCTAGCCATAACCATGACAACAGCGAGACGCCTCCTCCGATTCAGCGCCGTCAAGTCGATCGATTTGCCACGCTCAAGTCCCGCGAGGAATGATTCACATCTGCAGCAGAACATGGCGAGGCTCAAAGTTATACCCGTGGCTTCGCAGATAAAGAGCGTGTCTTGACCTTCATAAACATTCTGGCTTACACAGCATGTCAAGCATTCAACGCCACAACATTTCTTGCTGAATGTCCTTCCTTGCGCAAGCCAGCTATCGAGCAAGCTGCAGGGTAGGAGTAAGAAGGCGGTGCAGGTCGATCGTATAATGGAGCTGTGATATGTAGGTCTGAAGCACTGCCATGAAGGACAATTGGCTGTAACATTCCTTTGGAGAATGGCTTCTACCAGATGTGAACCGCAAATACTCAAAGAAGTCATGATTGCACAGGAAAGTATCAGGAGAAGGGTCGATCAAACATGCTTCGATGACAACTCACAATCACTGTCGAATGTCCAGCTTGGCATTTCGATCACGAGCTGACGCCCGTTGATTGCCAACCTCAGAACGACTTATGAGCGGCATTGTTCGATGCGATTTTGTGCAGCAAGAACTCTCATGGTCTTGTGTCTTCCTCTCCAATGCTCCAATGCTTCTGAGTCAATGGACTCAGCCGAAAGCGAATAATGACAACTACAGAATGATTGAACGTGTCTTCAACCTCAAATCGACTCGTCCCTTACTCCTCAAAGCTCCACTACGCTGTCCGTCGGCGGAAATGGTTATCTATGCTTCAATGCACTTCACGTATAGAGCCCTGTTATGATCAACTCTGCTCAACCCAGTGCCAAGCCACCTGGATTTGAGCTATCTATACGAGCTGCATTTGCCAACGGCTCATCCCGAAGCTCAAATTGCCTCGATGGTGAGGGTAAGCGATTCCTCGACATCCACATTGTGGAATTTGCTCGCTGACGGTGTTCGTAGTGTCCGAGGTTCGTCAGATCATCAACACTAGTCTCCACGCATTTCCTGACCTTGTCGTAGTGGTTATGGAGCTGCGTTTAGGCTTCACCTAAGCAGATTCCGCAGTGGCTTTGCCGTAAGATTGTGAGCATCTTTAATCATTCGACTTTGTTCTAACCTGATTTAGTCGTGGGTTCGAATGTGAGTATTCTTGGCTCTTCAAAATTCAATGTCCAGTGCCTGATCTGTTCAAAGCCCACCCTCATCAACATTGTCCCAACCAGACGTTTCTTTTTTTATCTTTTCGCAAAATTCTCCCATTTCTTTTCGTGCTTTCAGTCAAACACTTCCCTTTTGAACGATCGTTCTCTTCATCGCTTCCTCCTCGTTGATATGTGAAAAGACCCACTTCTGTTTTGGCAGTTCTTCCGTACATTTCGGAGCCCATTTTTACAACACCACTAACAAATGGTGCCTTTTGGAGCAGATCACAGCAGCCTCGTTATGGTCTTCCAATGCTTAGCATAAGGACGTTGCTCTTGCCTGGTCCTCACAATACCACCTTTCCAGCCAGGATCCACAATGTGCAGGCGCCATACTCCTCAGAATATCTGCGGCAGCCATACCATGACAAGAGCATTTCGAAATTTCGCTGGCCAATATGCGGACTCAAGGGTGCTGATCGTTTCACTGCTGCGCGGCCGACCTCTCAAGTCTGTGTTGAAGGACCTGCCAACGCTTGGGATCATAACAGCTCCAAGGAATCTCGGCGGACATCATCTACAGCTTGTAAAAGATACCCAGTAAATCTTGATGTCTCAAAATTTGATGAAGATCAATACTCTCGACTCCGCTGGTATACAGCGTCCCTCACAAAATCTGCTACTGCTTCTGGTCGGCACACTTTGGCAGCACGAAACATGGACATTTCACGAGCTGTCTTGTGGTCAAGATTTCCAGCAGTCTCTTGAACCGGATCTAAAGTTGACAGTACGATTGAGGGCTTCATGCTGCTCCTCAGCGTAGAGGCGTCAACAGGCCATACTGTGGTCGAGTACTATAGCTGATTTAAATGGGCTGATACGAAGCAGGTTGTCATCAATACCCAGAGGCGGACGCACGATATCATTGTTTAGGCTGGTCACATACGAGGTCTCGGCTCGCAGCAGGATGAAGCTTTACGGGCCTCTTCACCATCCAGCATGGGGGTACAAGTGCACATAAGACTGGATACTGTGGATCTATAAGGCTGAGAAGTTGTCTGTCTTGTGAAGCGCCAGGCGCAGCCGTTGCCTGTCTGGCGCTTCGAGTTTGCAGGATCTTCCTGGTCATGACTTTGAACCAGAAAGACGACAAGTCAGCATCAGACCAGCATAACGCACGACATCACACCCAGAAGTAATCGCAAACCTGATGCTAGCAGGCACCGATCCGTTAGGAGAGAAAACTTCTCCCCGCCGATTCCGTTCAGACACTTGGAACCGATACCTACGGACCTTATCAACTCGAAGCGATTTGATCTGTTAGGTCGCACAGTACGTTTATTCATCACCGATGCCTCCAAAGGCGTAGGTAAAACACCACTGATTCCTGTCCAAAAACGAGATATTTTGTCGCAAGCGTTAATACACAGGAATGGAATACTGTGTTTGGTGTGATCGATCGAAAACACCACAGGTCTTATAACCAAATACTACTGATTTCCATCCCTCATAGCTGATCGAGGAGCATACACGAAATGGCGTTGCAATAGCTTATTCTTGAACGGCAAAGGGAGAACGTTCAATATTTCTTGTGAGTAGGGATACGTCTATCATCGATATATCCACCAGCTCTTTTTTCTTCATTCGTAATCGCCTCTGACATTGTGATCGCATTCACCCCTAGTACACATTCTTTACGACGTAAATTTGAATGGTATGATCGATTTCAACGCTTTCTCGGCACTACGCAGCGTCATCGCCTCTCTGACAGTGAAAACATTTTCTCGAGCGGGTACTTATTTTCGATGTTCTTTCTTCCATTCTCGTCCTCGCAAACACACCACTCACTAAGATTCAAATATGAGCCCCACTAGTCGACATCACCATGACCATCTCTCAAGAGATGCAGACACACAAGTCCGCTGTTCAGAATGCGGGCATATTAAAAGAGGACACAGTCCAGCTTGTCCACGACGACGTGTGCTCAAGTAGTAGTCAGAAGATAGAATTTCCAAAGTGCATGAGCTAGCTCATGCATGGAGTAATATACTGCTAGCTAGCTTCTAGCCGCTTCTACTACTGATTCAAGAGTTTGTTGCTTAAAAGTATCTATGCCCACCGCCCTGACTTCCATACTGCTGTCCGAAGCCAGGCATACTCTCCTGATCCATGCCTTCCAAATTCATAAAGTCATCGACGAGCCCGTCATTGCCGTCATCAGGCTGCGAGACATGAATTGTGTCTTGATCGTCGGCAGTATCGAACTTCGGATCAATATCGATGGGATCGCTCATTTCGTTATTCGATGATGGAGGATCAGTGCCATCTACGATCTCAATCCCTTGAGGCACAGCCTGACCAAGGGCTTCCACTCGTGTTTCGCGGCGATTGTTTTCGCGTGGAATACGCGGGAGTTGAGGACTTCGATTACTGTTGAGACAGTCTCCCCGACTATTCATCCAGAGCGAAGCTTCTTGGATTTCTCCTTTGCGTTTCTGCTCCGCCCAGACTTCCGGGTAGAGTTGGGCGAGGATTAAAGTCGCTTCGTACCAACGGCCTTTGACATTGTTCAAGTCCACTCGCTGCTGTGCTGAGGCGAGTCTCCAGAAGCTTGCGACACGTTTCACTTCGACTGTGCACTTATTACGGTCCATCAGGTCTTCGGTAAGACGCGGCGGTAGATGTGGATTCCGATTCGGCGCTGCTGGCGTCTCCACGGACACGTTCGTGTGCGGCACTGTCGTAAGCTGATAGACGTCCCCGACGAAGTATGCAGCCTGTTCCAGAACTTGCTGTGGATTTACGGGCGAGGCACGCTTCCGTTCGATGATAGAATGCACCACCATCACATCTGTGCCAGTTCCAATGTGCAGCCGTATCGGATCCCCGACCCATATCTTCTCTGCGCCCAGAAAGATGCCGTTGTAGTGCACTTCTTGGACACTAGGTTCTGGTTGTAACACTTTCTCCTTTCCGAAGAGTGTATAGGTAGAGTCGATCATCTTGGCTGCCATGATTGAGCCATCGACTTCCAGATCACCGGTGCCGTAACGACCTGATGCCATTCCTTGCCAATCCGCTGTCTCGTATCTAGGTGGATTAGGCTGATCATTCAGAGCCTTGTTGGTGAATGCCGGCACACTCCACGCCAGCCAAGGGCGCATCTCTTCGTTGCCTTGCTTGACGTGTACGCCTGGATTTCCGGATGGGTAGGATAATGGTTGAATGCGGTAAAAGGTGGTGTTCGTGTTGTTGGAGCCATCAAGCCAGCGTCTCAGGACAACACCAATGCCCCAAGCATATCCACGCTTGAACCAAACTAGCTCGCCAGGCCTGTACATGAACATCTTGAATCTGGCATCCATGGCCTGGTCCGGTGACCTCTGCGGCGGCAATGGTGTTGGAGATAATTGTCTCTGTGCGCTGACGGGTCTCGGCACCTGGACTTGCGGGCTTCTGGCAGATTGCTGGCTCGTCTGACGTGCCATTTGTGTTGCTGCGGTCACGTTCAATGCATCTTTTGAGTCTTGCTCTGCCTGAATAGCCTTCTCGGTCTTCACCTTGGCACCCGGTAAGACATTCTCCAGATCTTCCGGCGAGCATATCTTGCAGCTACAGTTGTCCGGATCGCCGCTCTCATCCGTACACAGCCAGAGCAGATGCGGAAAGAAGTCGTTGGGACTGCGGAAACGTTTCCTCCTGCCCGCTGGATGACCGTACAGATACGCATCCTGCCTGTCATTACCACCAGCGGCATGCGTCTTGCTCTTGACCTCCAGTTTGCCATCCACGACAGTCTTCTTGACGTGCTCGTAGAGGCGGTATTGCTCCGGGAAGGTGACCAGTATGTATCCATTATCTAGCAAGCATCAGCATCTGGCCATGCATATCTTTCCGAACGATGCACATACATACCCTGTCCAGACTTGTCCTTCCACTCCAGCTCTCTCGCTAGCATTCCGCCCAGCTTTCTGCGCCAGTCGAGATGCTTCCCTTCGTCGGCGCCGACTTCACGATAGAAGTCGCTAACTCCATCTCGGTCGGGTCGCTGGTTCAATTGGTCGTCTGTGGGCTGGTTGAGCTCTCTGCGTTTGCCTTTGGACACCACCTCAAGCCTGCCGTCACTGCGTCGGACGTAGATGGGATAGAATCGCGCCATGGCGATTGTTGACAGTGATGACTTCAGCTCTCACGCATCTTTGCCGACACCACAGCGCGCGCAATCACTGTCGCCGTCGCCGCCTCAGCCTCAACCCCGCGCCGCGCCGCTGTCGTCTCTGGTTTGCTTCGTCGTTGTTTCGTGCACACACGTTGACGAGGCAAAGAAAATAAGCCTTCGGCAGGATGCCGCGCCAACCAGATGGCGTGCAGATCCTTGTCGCGCCTGCATGTTGAACGCGCTCTCGTGTCGGCGTCGCGTCTCCGGCTAATTTACATCAAAGCTGTACATGGCATCGACGACGACTACATCTGGCACGGACCGACATGATTTCATTGCACACACGCCTCACGGTCACTGGTAGATTGGCCGATTTTGGAAGCGTAGGCTTGTCGCCCAGCAACACTCAACCCATCTCTAGCAGACGGCATTTGAAGCGCTGCACCTGACGTTTGCACACTCTTGTTCACAAATCCCTTTCTTGCAAGCAATCCAATCCAATGCACATCGTCGACACTCCGCCACCCAAGCGCAGAAAGCTGGTACCCGCCATTCCCAACCCATCACCAAGCAAGCTGTCTGACTTGCTCTCTGTCTTTGGTGCGCGCAAGTCGCGAACCTCCGTCAGCAACATGGACCGCGACGCTGGAGGTCACATCCTCCGTGGCAAGGCGCCCGTGTCATACGTCGAGTCCCCTCCTCCATCGACAGAAACCTCACCAATCAACTCACCAGCCCGTGGCGTTCTTGATTCATTTGATGTTGGTGAGAGCGAGAGCGAGAGCGCCAGCGGCAGCGACAGCGAGGATGAGCTCACGTTGGACGATACCATTCATGTGAGTCAATTCCGCTGCGTGTCCGATGCCGTGGCCTCAATCTCGAAGACAGCGCTCTAGTCTCAGGCCATGGCTTCGGAGCGACATTTCACAGATTCGCTAACCCTTGTGTTCAGGCAATACCTCGAAGGACCTCGCAGCAACAACCGCAGCCGGTACCGGAACTGCCAGCCAGATCTCGTCGCTCGGGCGTAACGTACACCAGAGCTGTGCCACAGCCAAAGAACGTCCAGAAGCCCACGAAGAAGCGTAAGACCAACAAGCGCATCCTCACCTCAGACACCGCCAAGTCTCGCCTCAATGCCAGATCCGGCACTCGAACAGCACGTGGCCAGGTTCGCCAGGACATTGCCCTCCACACCAAGCCGAAGAGAGATGCCTTCCTCATCGCCAATAGTGAATACTTCCTCCCATTGCTGCCGAAATCCAATTATCTCGCCAAGACCGAGGCTGCTGCCTCAAAGGCGAACCACCAACTGCCTGAAATGACGCAGTACTATGATCTGCAAGAACAGCCGAACGGTGTGAAGGCGAACATGAAACCATACCAACTGCAAGGACTATCGTTCCTCGTCCATATGCACGATAATGGCATGTCATCAATCTTGGGAGATGAGATGGGTCTGGGCAAAACACTTCAAACACTCTCGCTCTTCCAATACCTCGAGGAGAACAAGCCGACCACGGGAGAGTTGCGACCATACCTCGTCGTGTGTCCTCTGAGCGTCCTTTCATCATGGATCAGTGAAACCAAGAAGTGGGTACCAAACCTGAACGTTGTTCGCTTTCATGGCCCCAAAACCGAGCGTGAGCGCTTCAAGGTCGAATGCACCGCAAAGAAGGCTCGCTATGAGAAAGATCGCACACAGCATCGGGATGACCGCATGGACATCTTCGTGACAACCTACGAGACATTCTTGCACGAGCAAGCCTGGTTCAAGCGGAACTTCGTTTGGCGCTATTGTGTCCTCGATGAAGGTCATAAGATCAAGAACAACGAGTCGGACATCTCTTCGGCACTGCAAGGACTGAGTGCAGAGTACCGCCTCCTGCTCACCGGCACGCCCTTGCAAAACAATCTGAAGGAGATGTGGGCACTGCTACATTGGCTCTTCCCAGAAGTATTTACAGACGACACCAGCGATGCTTTCCGTAAAGCTTTCGACCTGAGTCGAGGTCAGGTCTCGACATCGTTCATGGACGATGCTCGCCAACTGCTGGAGCTCATCATGCTCCGTCGCATGAAGACCAGTCCTGGTGTCGATCTTGGCTTGCCCGAGAAAGAAGAGGTCCTTCTCTACGTGCCCTTGACTCCGACACAGCGATTTTGGTACAGATGGCTGCTGAACGGCGCCGGCGACTCCACTTTGGACCAGATCTTCTCCGGTTCTAAGGAGAAGGACGCTCAGGCTTTGACACAACGTGACCAAGATCTCTCGATCCTGGAAAAGGCTGCCAAAGCACTTGACACTGCCGAGGAGGCTGATACTACAGATCTTTGGGCCGAGTCAAGAGCAATCATGCAGGAGGCCATCGACAAGGCCAATGACGAGAAGAAGAGTGGTGGCTGGAGGAAGCTTATGAACCTGTTGATGCAGCTTCGCAAAGTCTGCAATCATCCCTATCTCCTGTCGCCGGCGGCGCCGCGAGAGTATAATATTGGCAACCATGTTGTCGTGGCTTCAAGCAAGTTTATCGTCCTGGACAAGCTTCTCCGAGAATTGGTGGTCAAGCAAGGCAAGAAGGTCCTCATCTTCTCCGGCTTCACATCCACCCTCAACCTCTGCGAAGAGCTGTTGATGCTTCAGAACGCAAGTGGTGCGCCTATTCGCCACGCTCGGCTGGACGGTGGCACTGCACGTGCTCAGCGCAACCTCAGCATTCGCCTCTTCAATGATATGCAGAGCAACTTCAATGTCATGCTGCTCTCCACTCGTGCAGGAGGCCTAGGCATTAACTTGACCTCTGCCACCGATGTGGTATTTCTTGATGAGGACTTCAACCCGCAGGTCACCCTGCAGGCAGAAGCACGCGCACATCGCATCGGCCAGACAAGAAAGGTCACCGTCTACAAGCTGTGCACATCAGGAACGGTCGAAGAACAGATGATGGGTCGCATTCGCAAGAAGCTCTATTTGTCAGCCAAGATCACTGAGAGCATGAGGAACATCCACACCGCAGACGCCCCCAATAAGAAGCGCAAGCGCACTTCGAGCGCCGATACTGGAGGTGATGATGCTCCCCATCTTGACACGGCTTCACTCCAATCGTTGATCAGACGTGGTGCCCGCACGCTGGCTCGAGAGGAGCTTAAGGTTGATGAGCTGCTCAGCTGGGACTGGGACACAATCATCGAGAAATGCAAGGACAAGCCGGATGATGAGCTGGTTGCCGAGCAGACTGGAGGCGCGAAGATTGATGAGCAAGAATGGCTCAAGCAGGAGGAGCGTGTTCAGACCGCCGTGTTCGAAGGTAGCAAGCATCGCAAGGAGATTCAGAAGAAGGCCGAAGAGATTATGGAGCTCAATCGCGCCGACCGACGACAAGGCAAGAACACCACAGTGGAGATTGACGGCTACATGATCAACAAGGAGTCCCTCAATTGCGCTGATTGGGAGGCGGTGCCAACCCTGGCCGGGAAAGATCCACGACTTGCCGAGTACAAGAAAGCGAAGCGCGCTGCCATTGAAAACCAAGAGACCTGCCAGATATGCTGGGATGCTGGCGAGCTGACCCTATGTTCAGGCTGTCCGCGTTCTTACCACGTTGGATGCCTTTCGCATGACTTTCAAGTCAAGGCGAAGTCTCCTCTGCAATTCCACTGCCCACAACACGAATGTCGCGACTGTGGAGCCAAGACGACTGATGCTGGGGGTATGATATATCGATGCAGATGGTGTGAAAATGGCTTTTGCGAAGACTGTCTCGACTGGGACAATACTACGCTTATCGACAACACCTTGCCAGAGTTCGAGATGATCGGGTTTGGCCGAGTTGCGCAAGCCTACTTCATCGAGTGCGCACACTGCAACGAGCGATTCAGCCAGAATGCCGAGGAGCGACGCATGATTGATGCTGAACGCACCAGAGTGGCCAAGCTGTACGAGCAGTTCCTAGACGACACTGTGGAAGACCAGGGAGCCGGTGCTGAGCGCACACCAGATACGGTGTCGGAGATCGCCACGCCTGCTGAGAATGACTTCCCGTTTTCAGCAAGCCACAAGACAGCCATGAAGCAGCCTTTAGGAAAGACCCTGCTTGACCTGACATCTGACTTGACCGAGTTCACTTCTGAGGCCGAGCAACAGCAGCCTTTGGGAAAGACCCTGCTTAACCTGACATCTGACTTGACCGAGTTCACTTCTGAGGCCGAGCAACCAACACCGAAGCGAGCATCTCCTCGTCAGAAGAAGCAGACTCCGAAGAAGCGATCAATCATCATTGACCTTACTTCTGATCTTACTGACCTCTCCGATGCTGGGGCTTCACGCTCCTCGCCTCGGCGCACCAAGAAGACTCGCCGATGAGGGACGCTTTACGACTCCACAGGAGGCCCTCAAAAGCGCAGGTGCTAGACCGAAAGTCCGCGCATTACTGCTCCATACAAACGCTGGGAGCGCAAGCGCAATTATGGCACTCAGAAGTCTAGCAAATCAATGTAGCCTGCAAATGAGATCATGAAAGATGCAATGACTTATCATCATCCGTGAAGACCGTAGGCATCCATAGTAGTGACTCACCCAACACAGAGTGCGTACGTGCACCGCAGGCAACAATGCCGCAACTTCGGCCTACCTGCGCCATTGAAAAAACCTCTGTACTTCGACCTCCTGGGTTTTGAGAATCACGGTTTGAGTACAATACCGACATACAATGCATTGAGAACCTGCGGTTAATCTTCGCGTCGATGCCATCCATCCCAAGGTCGGGAAGTCCTGAATATACAGCGGAAGATATACAACCGTAGCATGCATGAATATTGATCCTATACATGGGCCAAGATAGAAATCCCTCGGTGAATGACAAGCTCGGCGCGTCCCTGAATCACATGTCCGTAGTCCCTGGAGTGAATGAGTGAGGGAACATCCTCACCTGCATCCCTGAATCACATGTCCACAGTCCCTGGAATGAATGAATGAAGGAGCATCCTCACCGGTTGCACATGAAAGCCTGTGATCCTTAGTTCTTTTGTGTCACATGAAGACAATAACATTGTCCTCGAGGACTCGAGAGAGCTTTCTTTCAATCGATATAAAAGAAGATAAAGAAGAAGTCAGCACTCGAAGATCTTCTCTCCATACTATCACCATTACAATCAATCAGAATGAAGTTCCACCGATCATACGCTGTTCTCGAGGAACAGAATCGTGAGCTACGAACCGAACGAGACGCTTTACTGACACAGCTAGATGCTGCGCAGAAAGAAATTGATACTCTGCAAAAGCAACTTGGCGGAAAGAAAAGACCGACGAGTACGAAGCCGCAGTTTCATACTGTCGCCGCCAAGCCTCACAAGGCTGTGCCAACACCCCTACGTCCACCCCAGCCATGGAACGACACACCACATTTCCCATCACCATCTCTAACCGACTACACGCAGCTCGTGTACGACGATGGGAGGCTCATCGATACCGAGTTGCGTAATGCAAGTTTCATGAAGCATACCATATCTTCCGCTAGAAAGACTGTAGCTCCATCGACCGCTATCGATGCCGGTATAATGTATACCACAAAGCTCCGACAAGACCAACCCAACCTCTCGGGAACCTCAGTGCCAGAAGCAAAACCGACTCTGCCTTCTCCAACTCCCTCTCCAACCCCTGAGCAAGAAGATCCCACCCGCCTCGACAACAACCCTCCCGACAACGACTTCTTCACGACCCCATCATCCTCAGGCTCCTCAATCCTCCAACTCCCCTTCACCTCCCAAATGAACCTCCTAGAAAAAGCCTACGACCTCGCCCGCCAAGCAACATTCAGCCACATAAAACATCACTGGCCACGCGACCAACTCCGATACTTCCCCGAACACTGGAAACAAATCCGTTTCGGACTCCAAGAACTCGAAGACTCGAACTTTGGCCTGAGAACCTGCGACCCATCCAAATCCGCCATCGTCTCTGCAATGTACAGAATAATACCTTTGCGGAATCACGTCTGTCATCCGGGTTATGTGCGAGATTTGAAGAGTTTGGATGAGCTTTTGGGGGCTGTGGAGGAGCTTTTAGGTCTCCTTGGAGACGGGGAGAAATGGGCGGCCGAGGAAGTTCAGAAATTGAGGGGTCGATTGCAGGAAGAGGCGAAAGAGATTTTGGCGGAGATTGAAGGGAGGGAGGGGCTTTCTCGGCTTCCTGAGGCGGAAGCTTGGCCAATGCATATTCAGCAGATGTTTGAGAGGGTTTTGTTTGAGCCTCAGCGTTGGCAGGAGTTTCCTGAGGGGATCGTTAGGGCTGCGAGGGAGTGGGAGATGAGGAAATTTAGGGTTGGGGAGGATGACGAGGACTTCGAGGCACGGTTGAAGGAAGCGTGGTCGAGGCAGGAGGAGCGTTTGAGGGAGGAAGCGCGTCGGAGGGAGGAAGCGTGGTCGAGGGAGGCTGTTGGTTCGGACGATGATTCTCAGACGTCCCTAGAGTCTGGCAGCGAGAGCCCGACTACGTCGTGGCCATCAGATACCACGAGTGCTGCGGAGATGGAGGATGACACGCTCGCCGATCCTAATGCTGACGATGATTGGGACAAGAAAAGAGAAGTGCCATCAATGTGGCGATAGCCAGAATCCAACCACCGATATTGGTGAGATTCGCAAATGCAACAAGGCCAGGATTTCGCTGAATTTTTGCTCTTCATGTGACAGACCAGATCGTTTCCATTCCTCACAGCATTTCGTACTTCACTCACGCGGTGGGACGGCCCGGTCTCGTGATGCTAGGCAGACAGCTCGTGATCGTTGCCGCTCCAACTAGGTAGTTCTTTAGCGCCACGTCACAAAATGTTTGCTATGCCATCCGAAGCAACATTTAATTCTTTCATCCAGATCGTGCGCTTTGTCATAGCATCACACAACCACATCATCACCGTATGTTCCTGTATCCTGTATACGCACCGCCGCCACCATGATTATCAAATTGCCCGAAGATCTAGACGATTACAGCTTCGAGTTCCACTCGGTTCAGCAGGCTCGAGGGCACGTTTCTATAGCGCCAGAACCAGAACGTGAGGATGGAGTTAGCGAGGCCGAGGAGCGTCACGACGAAGCATATGTTTATCGCTTGATGCGCGCCATACAATCAAAAAGTCGCACAGGACCGCCAGATCACCGAGCAGATGAAGATGAGTGGGCTCGATTCCAGGCGTGTGATCATAAACGAGTCGAAAGCTGGATCGAGGAGAATGGAAGCAGGGAATTCGAGCGCCGGGCGTGGCTGATTCTTGTAAGTAGTGCGAAGCCGCAGCTGGTGACTAGCTAACGTAAAATAGGGCCTCATCCGAAATGTCCACACCCAAGGAGCGCCAGCGAAGATGATGAAGCAGTATCTTGATGACATTATGCATAGCATGTATCTGATTGTCGGCTTCGATGAACGGATTGACCGAATTGTGAATGGAATCAGCGTGAGTATGGACAGTCGTGTGGGAAAGGAGCTTCTGCTGATGTCGTCTAGGCTCACCCGAGTATTGCTTGGGACTTTCTCAGCCATCACGAAGATGCCAAAGTTTCTGAAGCGACTCGGCACATTGCTTTGATGCTTCCATACTTGGGGACCGAAGGTCAACGAAAGATGGACAGAGTTCCGTACATGCGGTATCCTGTCCTTTGACGATGATTCGCCTTTACAGAAGTCCGAAGCAACCAAAGCAGATCTGTCGGGCCCGGAAGCGGTAGAAACGGCCGGAAAAGTGTCAGGCGACGTGAAGACCGAGAATGACGACCGAACAGACCTTGAAAGCACACCCAGCGAGGCTCGTCCTCCCTTCAAACCCGCAGCCTTGCGCCAGACATCCAAAGTAAATCATTTGAGTTCAGCAGGCAGTATGGACATGGCTCGTCTGGCTTCGCAGAAAAGACAGGCTCAAGCTGCTGCGACTTCGAGGAAGGCCAAAGCAAAGTTCTCGGAGCCACAAAGCAGAGGGTTCTCGACCAGTGCCCCTATCAAGAGAAAGCGGGTGAAGGGCGCCGTGCCTTCTGATGCAGAGAAAGGCGATGCCCTACGTCAAAGTGGTACTCTACAGCAAAGCATCAAAAAGACAAGTGCTCCGCGAAAGGCTAGCGAGAAGGATCCAGCGCTCGCAGCAACTCTAGAGCAAATGATCAAGGACAATATCGGAAATTTTCCGGGACACAAGACAAGTCATCGGCGCGAAAAGACCGGCTTCTTTGGTGCAGGCGGCTGAGCTTCTGCTGAATTACATTTAGATGGATCGACGATGCTTCGAGTGGATAGCACAGTGCGTGTTGGAAGAGCCAAAGACGCTCGGAAAGATTTTGAGTCTGTCATTCTGTTGTCTTCAAGTCAGCGCATGTGCTTGCCATCGCAGTCAAAGTATGGCAAGAGCAGAAGGGAGGTAGTCAGTAAGACTAATCGTAAGTCCGTCAACGCCGCGTACGGCTATGGATCTAGAGCTAAAAGATGTCTCATCATCGGGAAGAAGGAAGGAAAAGACAGCGACATACCATAACCCTGCGCCGTAACAGCATGATCGTGAAGCTGCGACTTCACATCGCGTTGAGAAGGGGTATCACATTGCTCTCTCAAACCTCCCAAAACGCCTCTGCTTCGAAGTCAGTCAGCCAACATCCATGCCATAAAGAATCAGAGGGGGAAAAAGTTCCGCCAAACTCACCATCCCTACAATTCACACATAATCCCTCATTCCCGGGTCCCCTCCCTCATTAATCTCCTGCTGCAACACAATCGAATAAACACTAGCCTTCAGCAGCGTAAAAACAGTCGCAGTCTTCCTCTCAAGCCCTCTAAGCGAATCCAGAATTTCAGTCGAAGGCTTAGCGGCGAGTTCATTAAGCACGTTGGCCAACTAATCCACCACATAGTCAGTCACCGATACTCATTCCTCAAAAATTTCTACTCACATCCTCCAGATTCCCAACCAACTTCGCGTACTCGTCTAGGACTTCTTGCTCGAGAGGGGAAAGAGAGTCTTCGGGATTACGGGAGGTGGAAGAAGTGCTGGCGTTGAAGTCGTCCATGCTCATGGTTATGGCGAAGCGACCAGCGCTTCAACGAGGGAGCATGGACGGGGCCTTGTTGGAGCCGTGAAGACTTGGTGGTGTTGTTGGTGTTGTGATGGCAAATTTGCAGACGCGAAAAAGAGAGTAGGGAAGTCGCGTTAAAGGCTTGGCGGGTCACAAACCACGAGTGGCTGACTAAGCCTGACTTTGATCCACGAGTGACCACGACTCGCATTGTTATCGTGGCAGACTGAGATAGGACGGTCAGTGCACTAGCGGGAATGGAAGTGGTAGCAAGATCAAGATGCTTTCAATGAATGCTTTCAGATCGTCTCGTTCGTGCGCTCAATGCTGTAGCACAGCTTAGGTCTTTGCAAGTCCCGCCTGCCCCGATGTAAAAACACACGTTGCCCCGAACGCCTTGCCGCCTTTGTGCAGTATTTACAAATGCCCTCGAAGGCGACCTCGTGCGCAGTGCATCATGTCTTGCCGCTGCGACCCTCTTTTGGCCCTTGGGTTTGACTCAAGTCTCTGGTCGACAATGATGTCTTCACCATCATGCAGCATTTCGCCGCAGCGCCAACGCTACCGATGAGCATGACCATTACTTTGTTGAGGCGCGTTATCCTCGACAGCATGATTCTGCTCATCTCCGTCATGATGCAGTGTCACACTGTTGAATTCCTCAAACGGATCCGCAATCTCTCCACCTGGTGTATCAAGACCACTATCCAGAGGTACACCCTTCATCTTGCTGGCCGGCGTGCCAAATCCTTTGTTCACGCCGGTATTTGCGCCATTTCCAATATCGATCGATTGCGACTCTTTCACGTTGCGGAAATTGATAGTATCAACGCCGCGCCCTTGGTTGGGAATAATGGGAGGCTTCGAATGGCGTAGGAGTGCCCAAGAAGTGCTTCGGAAGAATGGATGTCCTTTGACATCTGACGCGCCTGCACGCGAACCGAGACGGCGGAGTTCGTCTTTGATAAGCAGTTTTCGAATAAGCGATTTACAAAGACTGGGAGATAAGTCAGTAAAGGACGTTGTGGTGCACAAGATGGATCGCTATGCTTACTTGGAAATATTGGGAGCACCACTTCCTTCAGGAAATGGAACTTCGTCTCGTAGGATATTGGCGAACGTCGCATTCCTGTTTTTACCCTTGAAAGGTGTAGTGCCGAAGAGCATTTCGTAGATCAGGATACCGAGTGTCCACCAGTCAACCGCACTCGTGTGCCCGCAGCCTTTGATCACTTCCGGTGCAATGTACTCTTCGGTGCCGACAAACGAGTTGGTGCGAAAGTTAGCGATACAGCTCTTGGTGTCGATTGTAGGCATGTTGCTAGGGTTCGGATTGCTCGAGATACCGCCACTGGCATTTCGACCGCCGGCCAAGATCATACCCGGCACCCCACCTGGGTCTGACTGCTTTGAAAGATCGAAATCGGACAACATGATATGGCCCGATTGGTGCAGTAAGATGTCTGAATTCAGCAATCAGCATCCATGTCAAGCACCTCGTTACCAGCAGAACCTACTCTCTGGTTTCAAGTCTCGGTAGATGAAGCCCATGAGGTGAAGATATTCTAGCGCTGCAGTGACCTCTGCCGCATAGAATCTCGCAGCGTCTTCGTCTACGCACTTGTTTGGGCGTGTTTGAAGGGCTCGGAAGAACTGGGCCATGTTAGCAAGATCATACACTTCGAAACAAGGGTGACCGAGCTCACTTCTCCGCCACTGCAGTATTCCATGCAGAGATACAGGTGATCCTCAGATTGGAAGGAATGATAAAGGGTAACGATGAAAGGATGATTGCTCGTGGCCAAGATTTCCTGTTCCGCCAGAGCTCGCTTGATCTTGTTGCGCTTGATCATCTCCTTCTTCGAAAGAACTGTGTAGAAGTAAGTCAGCATAGGTAGGGTCACTCTCCAGTCTGAATCACTCACCTTTCATAGCATATAATCTCGAGCTCTTCTTCTCTCTGACAAGATATACTTTGCCAACATCACCTTTACCAATCAATTTTATCTTGTCGAAGCTGCCCGGGCCAACCTCCACATTCCGGACCTTGATGCTGTTACTACTGTAGGTCCGTCTGAAGGCTATGCTGTTTCGCAGCTTGCCTGGTGTGATTGGTCCATTGATGCCAGGGACTGGAAGCAGATCTCCGTTCTGTGGGACTGTCTCCACCATCGAAAGCGCACTGGCGTTGTTGTGCTGTCCGAGACCATTGATCTTCGGTGTAGGTGGTGTCGTCTCGAATTCAGCAGTCTGAGGACGGCTGTCTGCATTCCCAGCCTTGCCTCCAAATAAGCCCTGTGCATTTGGTGCACTGGCAACTCTTCTCAGCTTTCTAGCCAGCTCCTCCTTCCCCGTCGTACCGTTCGCATCCTTGCCAGCGTTGCCGGGAGGCATCTTCTTTGACATTTCAGGGGTATCGGGAGGTGAAGGTGGAATGCTGCTATCATCGTGGTGGCGTAGCGCTGGGGGTCCTTGATGCTGGAAGTATGGATTGGCATGGGCAGTCGGGCTCATGCCATCATCAAGCGGATTACCTTCGCTTGCTACAGTGGTGCTACGAGACCTGCCGATGTGTGGAATAAATCTGCTATGTCTCAAACTGCTCTTATCCTTGTGCTGTGACGACGGCGTGCGAGCGTCGTCCTCAAGGCTATTGTCTCCATTAAGCGAGCCTTTCTCGCTGCTCATAACGCTATTATCGTGCGTTTTACTTGATATGCGAAAGAAGTTTTTGATTTTCTGGCCGGCGCTGTGGTTGCCATTGTGCTTGCTGCCCGCGCCGCTAAAGACTCGCTTGCCGCTCGCCGGGGCATCAGAAGTGGACGGCATTGTGCTATTCGTATATTGAAGCCCTGAGCGAGCTCAAGCCATTCTCCGCTGCCTCGAAGGGCCTGCAGGCGAGGCGAGGCGAGGCGAGGCGGTGGTCGTGGTGCAGTGCAGTCGAGTTTGGAAGCGACGTCGAATGCAGAGAGTGGGGAGTGCAGATAGAGTACGTCGGCTGCAAGTGATGTCGGCAATAGTATGTCGCTGGCTGCTCACAAGCAGTTGGGCGAGCGAGCGCGGAGGCAGTTTGCGGATTCTGGCGCGGCCAGTAATCTTCAGCAGCCGGCAATCTGTGCTGTGGCAACGTGTGATGCTGATGCTGCGAGACCAACAATTGCTGCTAGGAGTTCTGTAAGTAGTAGTGAGCGAACGCCCTGAGCCTGCCGGGGAGGGGGACGGGCACCGCGGGCACAGTGCTCTCGAGAGTCGACTCAGAACAGCACGCTCTGCCGATCTCCTTCCAAGTTTCAATCAACTGCAATTCCGCCGATCTGGAAGCCTCTGCCGGTGGGGAAGGCCGAAGGAAGAACGCAAGGCCGAATACTCAACAATCATAGAATATGTCACAACATCAACATCAACATGAGCCTCAAATAAGTAAGCCGCCTCATCCCTTCTCGCACACGGCCGCTTGCTTGCTTGCTTGCCAATCCACTGTGCTTTGCACTCGGAAACATCGGATCCCTACAGGCTAAAACACTTGGCTCCCATATGCTGCATCCGGCTTTGCCTCTGTTCAGGCCCCGATTTCCCGGGCCACATCTCCATGCTAGCATCTCCATGTCTGCGTTTCGTCGTCTCCTTCTCCTGAGCAACCGAAGTGCTTATTCTTATGCAGTCTGATTAAGCGAGTCGTTGACTTGCAGTAGAAACCATATGATTTCTGAACACCAACCCTAACTGCTAGCTACCTATTATAGATAGTGTTGTATAGGGGAGTACTTTGGAACAGTCAATAACTGGGTCAGGATAGCCCGGCCTGCCAGTGCCATCTCGTTTGCAGACTGCCAGCCAGCAAGCACCTGATAGGGATAGCTTGATGATGGCAATAGCGACATCATCATCGACAGCAGCAGCGCCTGTGGTAGATCTTCGTGTCGGCTCATACCACGCCGTTCATGCTGTGTCTCATCTGGATCTATTTCCGGAATTTGTATGAGAATTAATCAAGGAGTCAAGGACGCAATCATCACATCTGGAACATGCTTAAAGCCGATAAAGGCCGCGGCAATAATCTTGACCGATCGCGGAAGCAGCAAGATGAACCATAACTATGTGCTGGCAGTCCCTGCTGGAGGCATTGATACAAAAGCCTGAAAGATCGAGCTCAGTCTTTCGAGCCGAAGAATTAATGCACTCTCGAGATGTAAAACTTGGCTGCAGCCTGATGACACTGGATTGCATCTGATCCAGGTCTGAACAGGTCCGTTGAGCATTCCAAAATTTACGATTCTGCCCTCATTCACTGCTGAACAAACCACCTCAGATCGCTTGCTAGACATGGAAATGTGCAAGGTGATCGCAAAGCTAGTGGTGAATTTGGAGACGGTCCTTGTGAATACACCAAAGTGGTAGACGGTGGGTTATTGATATCTAGAGCGGGAATGTCTGAAGGTCAGCGTCAGGCCAGGACCATATGACATTGAGTAGTGGAGAAGTATTTTGAATGGCGCCTCGAGCAGTCATTATGAAGAGCAAACCATCCCGAGCCCGCTCATGCAATCATTCCATATCATATCATACCATCTCTATTTCCCTCTATCCCTATACTCCCCATCCACATTTGACCGCTACTCATCTAACAAAAACCGTATAAAAGCCGCCCCAACATCAAGCCCAGCATGAAAATTCCTCACCCTTCGCATTCCCTCCTCGAAAGTCTGATCATCAAAAATCCCCTTCTGATGCCGACTCTCCAACAACTCCGCCACAACCTCGGCATTAAACTCCGGATGACCCTGCACAGTGATCAAACGATTCTTCACATACATGCCTTGGACATCACACCGATCCGTGTGTCCCAAAGCCTCCACATGCGGAGGATAAGCATACACAACATCCCGATGCATTTGATGAATCGGCTTGCTTCCAATCAGCACATCCTCCCAACCCCAACATCTGCGTATAAGATATAAACTCACCATAATCCCCTTCTCCATCCCCAAAACCTCCTTCCCCTTCTCCGTCAACCTGACATCCACAACACTAACCTCCCAACCCCTCTCACTCCTATCAACTTTCACCCCCAAAGCCCTCCCAACAATCTGATGTCCAAAACAAACCCCAATCAACCTCACACGTTCCTGCTCCAGAACTCGCTTCACAAATTCCACAAGTTTCAAAATCCACGGGTCGTTTTCGAAAGAATTATGTCCTAAAATCCAAGAAAATAAAATAAAAAATCAGCAGCCATGACCAACTACATCCTCTTTTTTTGTTTTTCCATCCCTCTCTTTTCCTCAATTTTAAGAAGTGGTTGGTGGACCTACGACTTCCCGTCAAAAGCACCGCATCAACATCCTCCAACCGAGGATAAACCTCATGCTTCACAACATCGAATTTCGTAATCTCGAGTTCAGGAGGTTTTCGGCCATCATCCTCTTCGAAAAATTTCTTTGCCCCATTTTCAAGAAGTTCCCGAAACAAATTCCCATAACCACCATATTTCTCCTTCGTACGGCCGAGAGGTTCATCGCATTCGAGGATAGCGATTCGTAGGGGAGGAGGAGGAGGAGGAGACATAGTCGTATCGGTAGTAGGGAGATTGAGGGAAGAGATACTGTTGTTTCGAGAACTTCCAGCAGCCGCCAAGAAAAAAGCGCGAATTTGGGCGAAAATTGGCCGGATAATCATACAATCCATTTTCATCGGATCTTTTCGAAGCGAATAATAAAAAAGAGATATAGATTTTCTAAAGGGCGTTAATAGGTTGCTAGATGCCTTGTTTTTTTTTATCAAAAAAAAACAATTTTAGGGAGAGCTATGTATTAGTTTTATATTTAAGAAGAGATTGAAGACAGTAGTTGTCTCTATAGTAAGAGCCTTCCGAGCCCTACGACTGCTCTTTCATTATCCAAAGGGAGAAGGCTGAGACAGATTATGCCTGGATTAAGTTAAAAATCTACCACTCGGGCGGCGGACGCTATTACTCGGTTCTTGATGAAAGAGGGTGTAAGATAGGCCAACCTCGTGACGATGTTGGACTCTCAATGGCTTCGCGCTCGCCTCGTGCCTGCCTTTTCCACGGGCCGAGCACGTGAGCACCGATGCCAATGCCAATTGTTAGATTGGGAAACGGCTTCACACTGGAAGAAGAAGTTTCCTCTTGAACCTCATCATGATGTTCCACGACAAACACACGAAGGAATAGCAAAAGTTCTTTCACATTTCGCCTCTGACACCATCACTCACAATCATCTACCAAGTCCGACCGATCCCATCCATACCAACAACACAATCCCAAGAAGTGAAAAAGAGCCAGCTTTTCCAGCGCAGTCCGCAGTCCGCGCATCCACCGGCGGTGCCCTGCATCAAGCACACTCATACACCCATTCCCAGGCCCCATCAAGAACAAGAATAAAAAAACAATGACAGTCAAAACCGTCCGCCCGCAGGCTGGAATTCCGACAGCCCGCTCCAAAGCGAAAAAAAAGAATCCCCAATCGCCAGCATAAATATCATGCAAAATACATCTTCGTAACATCGTAGATCATCAACAATTCCGACATGTCTCTCGGTATCCAGCTTGGAATCCAACCATCAAGCTTTTCGAGCACCCAGTCGAACGAGAAAGGAAGGCATCGCGGTCGTAATTGATCGAGACGCTATCCCTGCCGCGAGTACGGCTTATTCATGGCCGCAATCTCACGGGAAATAGTGGCCCATTCGAGTTCGCGGCGTAGCGGCTTGCCGCGCTTCTGGCATTGAAACTCTTCCCATTTGAGGAGTTCATATCTGGTGGGGCTTGTCAGTGATTGGTGCTAATCAGATGCTTGGCTGGAGGACTCACGCAAAACGAAGATGTGGTTGAATAATAACATTCAAACGCCTCGCTCGGACAAAACAATAAGCTCGAGGTAGTGACAAGCCCAGCTCGTTCATGACCTCGGCGATACAGATCGTCGCGGATCTAGAGACCCCTACGCGACAATGCACCAACGTCTTGATGCCTCTTTTGCGACCGTTTTCTGGGTAAAAGTCAGTCAGCTTCACACCAAGTCTACTCGCGGCTGCGCTCATACTCACCAATAAACTCCAAACATCGACCAAAATCATCAGTGAGAGGATCGACTCCATTATCCTGGACTTTATCGATGAACATCAGATTCTCCTTCGGCCATTCCTCCATGACTTCGCTTGGCCACGTCATTGGTTCACCCACGCTCAAAATCTGACCAATGTCAAGCTCCTTCAGAAGACCAGGGTTGTTGGCGTGCCCAAGGTTGCCCAGATACATGTATGGCAAGATTCTGCTCGGCAGCGAGCCATCCATCTTTTCCAACCACTCGGGCGAAGCTGGACACAAAGAGCGGACATCGCCGGTGTGCTTTGGGGATGCCTGCAAGATGCGTGGCTGGATCGCTCGCAATAAGTGGACATCTGAGCTGTATGCAAAGAAGTTGCGTCCCTTTTCGCGATGCAATTCCAGCCAAGCATCGTGGACTGGAACACAATTGGCATACATGTAGTAGGCCAATCCGAGGAGTGAAGTCTCCGTGTAGCCGTCGGTGCAGTGGATGAGGATCTTCCTGCCCGAGTCACGCGTCTCGCTACTGCGCATGAAACTATCGCCATCGGCATCAAGGGGCGGTGTCAGCGACAGCTTGCTGTCTCGACGCTTTCTTGCCTCGTTGCCCGAGGAACAATTAGCTTGGTTGTGAATCCACTGGCACATTGCAAGCAGTCCATCAACTTCAGCCTGCGACCAGGTAGGTAGCATGATGGCCCCTGAGCCTGGGAATTCGATTTGAGTCAGCATTCCCTCTTTGCTCACGTCGGCTCGCTCTCGCCGATCCAGGGCGTCTTCAATGTACTTGAAAGACTTGTCCTCCGGAATGTGCGCGATATCGCTGCATTCGACAAGTATGTCGAAATTTTGCTGCTCGTCAGAAAGATCAAGGCCATCAGTGCCCCATCCCAGGTTTGGATCCGGTGTAGGCCCCATCCAGACATTAGGCGCGATCTCACTAGGAGCCGACATGGAGCACATTTCGAGGCGCTCCCAGTGGAAGAAGTCCATGACTTTGCCATTCATGCAGCCCTCCGAGTCTAGTTGAACAAGGTCTGGATAGTCGCATTCGACCGTCGTCCAGTCAGCTGCGTCAAAGTCAGTAAGGAATGAGTCCAATCAATTACATGTTCCAATTTCTACTCACATGACAGGATGAATGTATTGAACGATCGCGTGGTGTTGTTCGAGCCCTCCACCTTCTTCTGCCACACCCATTGAGCCCTCGAGATCCTCTTCGCCAGTCGGGCGACCTCTTCTCGCGGTGTCTTCTCATCGCCATACACAATGATATCGCTCACGGTGGCCATCTTGGCAGTCTGGATGTGAAAGTTCCTGACGCTGAAGCCCTCTTTGGGGTCTGCCTCTATGAACTCGGGCTCTTCGATCTGCTTAGTCTTGGCAGCCGGCAAGGGCTTCAACAACTCTTCAGGAGCGATTGCTCCCTTGATGCGACAAAGCGACAGATCACCGCCTGCTTTCACGACAGTGATGGCTCGAATGCATGCTGGAGTCCGTCGTAGCGACTTCTTTCGTGCTATGAAGAAAGCCAGTTGTAATGAGTTGTCGGCATGCAGGCCGTGAAGCCATGGAAAGACTTGCTTTGGCGCGGGTAAGGGTTGCGAAGCTAAATGGTCGAGAGCTTCAGACAGTTTCTCGGCTGATATAGAGTACACTGGAGGGTCATTGAAGACTTTCTCGAAGGCAATGGGTGGATGTGTCAAGGTAGTTGTCCCGATGGACTGTGTTGGCGAGGGCGGAGAGGCCGGCGGGGTATCAAGCTGACGAGCGGCTGGTCGAGGACCGGGTGAGCAGAAGGGTATATGTTTGTTGGGGACAGGCGCCGGTGTCCCTCGGGTTGAGGTATTGATGGATAGCTGGGGTGGAGGTGTTGCGGTGCGTAGCGATTCCAATGGCCTCGTCAGCACGGTCGTGGCCATCCTCGCATAAGTGATAGGCGGCGATTCTCGGTAGCCTCAGTGCGCTGCGCTGGAAGGGGCTTGTGTCTATCGTTCACGAAGTGCAGATTCACCGAGACTGAGGTGGGCGTTGGGGATCGTCCACGCAAGAGACCCGGACAATTAGCGAGTCGTGAAAAAGCGTAGGGTAGCGTGTCGTGGTCGCGGTCGCGGGGAAAGTAGGCTGTGGGCTGCGGAATGTATCAAGTTGGCGTCGCGTCGCCGTTACGTCGTTGCAGCAACAGCGATCAAGGTGGGAGATGGTATAAGCAGCAGGCGTGGCATTCACGGCAGCAGCGTCGAGAAACAACGAGATCAATGGTGAGAGTAGTTTGTGAGGCGTGAAGTAAGAGGGCCAGGTGCCATGCCCTACCACCGCCGTTTGGCTTTGGGCGTTGGAGCTGCAAGTGCAGTTGACGACGGGGACTTCCTGCCCTCGCAAGTGGCAAGTGGCAGATAGCGCGGGGTACACCCTGGTTCTGGGTGGTCTGTGCGCGCCAAAACACCTGGACCCGAAACATCAAGTGTCGATCAACTGAGCCTCTGCCATCATATCGCTTCGCTTCCTTTGTGCATTATTATTTGGCCTGGTGTGGCATGTGCAGACTACACGGTCACGGTGCTTGCACTTGCCTTGCACCGGGGAATGGCCTGCCTGCGATCGTGCACCGGAAGAGCCTCACGCACGACACTGACAGCGCGACCAAGACCAGTCGGCATCAGGGTCGGCCCCCTTGACTCCTGGTGGACGCGCAGGCCAGACCCCAGCCCAGCCCAGCCAAGCCATCCTTCCACGCCTCTTCGCCTCAGGCTCTCAACGGCGAGCCCAGCTTCGACTTCTTGTCCCGAACCTCCTGCACTTTCTGCCCCTCGTTCGCGCGTCCAACGGCCACCAACAGCCAACGGCCAGCGAAGTCGCGATGACGCTACACGCGTTCATGCCGGCACCTCTATCTCTGGCATGTGTCGTGCGGCGTGTTCTTCGATAACGCACAACCGGACAGCTCCTCTGTCTCCTGCAACTGCCAGTCTACAACAGCTTATCCTACCCCTGCCGAGCCAGTCTTGGTGCGAGATGATGAAAGGCGAGGGTGCTGGTATCTCAGTTCCTCATCCCAGTTTCCGGCCCCAGAACACGGGTCTAACTTAGGCGGGCACCAACGTAGATGCGAGTAGATCAACCAAGAAAGTAAATTATATGCACCTCGAGGGTTCCATATGCCCCTGCAAAGTGCCCTGAAACTACACAAATTAGTGTATAAATCGGGGTGTTGCAAATTACCCCTATAAAAGCTAATTACCTCGGATTTCTACCGTTCTAAACAGCCGTAATCGCTCGAAAACGACTAAGTCTACGCCTATACCTTAGCACTACTACTTCTACCGCTTAGAAGCGATAACTTCTCCTTAGATCCGTCGTTTTAGTAGTCTAATTAGTATAGGAGATAGCGTACGAGAGGATTAATCTATCCGATATAGTTAAGGTAGTATACCTACGTATAACCTTCTACGAGCGCGTTTCGAAGGTGTTATAGGCTTACTAATTAAAGGCTTCTAACGACGAGGTTTATAATAGCTACCTAATAGCTATAGTAGATCAATTAAAGTGTCTTTACTAGGTAACTATATAGATAATAAATACTAAGCTATAGATAGTGCCGAAGAAGGTAGTAGCTCTATAGAAGATAGAGATAGAGGTTAGCGTAGTAGAAACAGCTTACTTAGTAATAGCAAATCGTCTAGTAAGGATTAATGCCTTAATACCTCGTCGTTATCGTATTAATTACTTTTGCTAGCGCCTTTTAGTAAAGATAGCGGCAATCGACTAATTAGCGTAGATTATAGAAGAAGGTCTATATCCGATAGACTATCGAATAGGTCTTTACCGTCTACCTTATACGGAGCGTCGTTGTTGCTACTATCGCTTCTATTATCCGACTAAATAAGTAAGTCGCTAACCTCTATAATGCCGTAGTAGTTAGGTAGGCTATAAACCTATAGCGTATAGCCGTTAACTAAGATACGAGGCCTAATCGGAGGCTTAGTTGTTATTACTATTGCTTTACTAACCTCTAAACCTTTAGAAGTAGCTATAACTAAGTTAGGTAGTGTTAGCAATAGCTTTAACCGGAAGACAGGTTAGCGTAATAGCCTATCGTCTATACCTCGCTATTTAGCGGCATAATAAGGTATTAACTCGGCCTCTTAATAGCCGTTGTTAAACTACTATTATATATGCGCGTTAATTAAGTTATAGCTTATTAAGGCGTAGTTAGTAACCTACTATAGAAGGGCCTTATATTACTAAGCGTCGGTAAGGTTAGAAGCCTACGAGTCGTAGAACCGGAAGAAGGCCTACAAGACTATATTAGGACTAAAGAGGTTATACGTAATTAGTAGGTAACCGGGCTCGAGTAAAGCTAGGGTCTTAATGCCTTAGGTAGGGCTTAGCGCTAGGCGTTAGGCTAACTAGCCTGCCTTCCTCCCTTTCCTCTTAGATCTCTATCGAATACTATACTAATTCACTACTACCCTATCTACCTGCTAATATAACCCTTCTTATATAGTATTCGATCTACCCTTTAAGGGTAGTAGCTAGATAGTCCTTATTTCAAGCTTTTAGCGGTATAGCTACGAACAAGACTAATCTAACTATATTGCGCCCGAAGAACGGGACCTATACGTACTATTCTATCGAAACAACCGTACTAAGCATTAAGCAAGGCCTTCTATACGGCCTATTATACTAAGTTAATCGTACTAGACTAATATCTACTAATTCCGCTATATCCGTATCTTAGGGGCTAACAATACATTATTAGTGTCGCCCCTTATAATAGCCGGTTTATTACGAAACAACAACCGTGCTGCCGCTAGTAGCGCTAGTAACGACAATGCTAGTAGTACAGTACCTACTAAAGTGCCTACTAAAGCACCTACTAAAGTGCCTCCTACTAAGGAGCCTACTACTAGGCCTGCCGAAGAACCTATAATTCTAGGTAACGACCTAGAGTTGCCTATTAACGACATTCTTAACAACATTGTTAATCGACGATATAGCTAACTAGCCTTTAGCCCTTAACTATTAGGGAGACTTCAAGAAGCTACTTAAAACAGGCTTACTGCCCTACGTTAAGAACAATAGCTAAAGGATAACCTCCTCGAGCTTCGCCGCCTTTAGGAAGACCCTACTACTACCAAACTAATAGCAGGGCCTTCTTTACTACCCGTTTTAGTCTAAAAGAAGGATGCTAAACTTAAGGACTGTACTGTGTTTAATAGCTCTAGTCGGAAGCAATACAATAATTACATTCGTAACTGCGAGCTTAACTAGCGTAATGTACTAAGAGCGCTGCTAGATAACTACTTATTGGCCGTCTACGCTATGTAATATATTAATAGCGACCTAAAACGCACCTAGGATAACTACTTTAACTCCCTTACTAATTAGACCGCTATTTAGTAGCAAACCTATAAGACTATTATACTAGACACCCTTAGAAACCCTATACTAAGGCAATAACATGCTTAGGACCTGTACCTTCGAGCTAAACAAAAGACTAATTAATCGGCTCGTTTATTCGAGGCCTATTTAAAGACCCTCGAGGATAACCTTCCGGCTAAGACTAATTCTATATAGATCTCGGAAATACGCCTAAAACTTAGATAGGAACTTATCCTCGAATTAGACCGTCGCCGTATATTCGAACAAGCTAACCTAATACGTATTCAATTCATAGTTAAAGTAGAAACAGCTAAACGAGCTGTTTAGCTTTAGCAACGACTAGAATTAAGGATCCGACTAGCTAGTACTAACCGTAGCAACCGTAGTAGCTACGGAGGAAATTAAGGTTCCTACTAAGACAATAGTGCTAACAATAGGAATAGTAACAACGACCGTAGAAGAGGCCGTAGCCGCCGGCTATATAAAGGAGGCCGCGATAGGGGCCGTAGAAGGGGCTCGTATCCCTATAATGCTAACCGCTCGTCTAACAATAGCAATAACAGCTACGGCAGTCTACTAACTAGATTGAAGTGCTTTAATTGTAACAGCACTAGCTATCTACTAGGCCAATGCGACAAACCTAAGGACTAGGCCCGAATTGACCGTACTTCCGCTAAGTATAGGAAACACCTTTTAGCCGCTAACGCTACCCTAGTCGGCTCTTTTAATTAGTCGAAAAAAGAGTAAACGCCGCACTAACTGTTAGCCTTGTGCGGCGTAAGACTATCGACATTATGCTAGCTATAACACGCTCCTACCTTATATAAGACACGAAGGGCACTACCTATTAAACCAAGGTTATACTAGATCTAGGAAATTCAGTTAGTGCCCTTATTAGCTATCGCCTAGCTAAGCAATTAGACCTTCGACAACTGCCGAAGACTAACCTGCCAACCCTTGCCTAGTTTAATAACGCTCGGCACTTAACCTATAGGGCCTACTATGTTCCTATAGCCCTAAAGGACGACCTCGGAAATGAGCGCCTACTAGACTTTACTGCCTACGTAGTAGATATAGACAGCCTCCTATCCGATATTGTTATTAGCAACCCTGTTCTTAAGTACTACGCTATAGCTATAGACCTAGGCCTCTAGAAGTAGCGATTTGGAATCGCTAGGAAAGAGGATATTAAACACATTAATATTAGCGAGTGTCCTAATAATATTAGGGTCCTGTTTATTAGCAACCTAATACCTACCTTAGCTAATCCGATAGCTAATCTTCTCGGTAGAGATAACGATAAACCTATACCCCCTAATAGCATAGACCCTAATTAGCTCTCTCGTATACTAGTGCCTATCCGAGAGACCTATATTAATGTGTTTGAACACTACCTAGCATCGACATTGCCTATGTTTAAAGAGACGGATTATAAGATTAATATTATAGAGGGCAAGGAGGTTCCTTTTAGCCCCCTCTACAACCTTAGTAAACGAGAGCTTACTATGCTACGTAAGTACCTAGAGGAAAACCTAGCTAATAGTCGAATTCGATATAGTAACAGCCCTGCTAGTGCACCTATCCTATTCGTACTAAAGAAGGATAGTAGCCTGCGCCTCTATATCGATTATCGTAGGCTTAATGCTATTACTATTAAGGATCGCTATCTACTTCCTCTTATTAATAAGACCCTCGATCGCCTTTCTAGTACCTACTACTATACTATATTAGACATTAAGGACGCCTATTACCGCATTCGTATTCGCAAGGGCGATAAATAGAAGATAGCCTTTCGCACTCGCTATAGCTATTTCGAGTACTTAGTTATGCTATTTAGGCTAGCTAATGCCCCTACTACATTCTAGTCCT